ATCTCTATGCAGGGCCACCTCAGTACCAGCTTCTCCCTCTGGACCGCATCGAAGAGCGACTCGAATCGTCGATACCCCAAACATCTCCGATCGGCTCGATCCCTTGGCGTTACGTAGAGATGTGTCTTCACTCTGCATTCTCTATCGCATATATTATGGAGAGTGCTCCGAGGAATTGTTCAGACTAATACCAGCCGCAAATTTCCGCCATCGTTCCACACGGCAAAATTTTCATCCTCATTACCTGGATAGTTGGCGCTCCACAACTGCGCGCATTTCGAGACACTTTTTGCCCCGCACAACCAAACTGCTGAACGGGTTATCGTCTGCGGTATTTCCGGACCGATACAACCTTCAAACCTTCAAGAAAAGAGCGTACTCCTTCCTAAAAGGCCGGCAACGCGTTTGTGACTCCTGAGTTGCAGACGTTTATGTGCGGCGATAGTCACTTTGAATCAGGTGACCCATCTGCTCGTCTGCCCCCTCTAACATAAAAAAAAATGTCTGCCGAATCTCTGTTTCGGGGTCCTTCTAGGAGTCTTAGCGTAATAGTCTAACCTATAATATTCCTCAATTAATAGAGTATTCATCAACATCATCATCATTCTTTTGAAACATAATAGTTAAAAATAAAGAAACAGAACTATACTGAGGATCACTTAGCATAATAACTGTAATGTTTAGGTGTCATATAAATTTTACAAACAGATGATTAACAGAAATGTAATGCGCTTAGATTTGATTAACATCATCATCATCAACAGCCTATAACAGTCCACTGCTGGACATAGGCCTTTCCTTAGAGAGGAGGTTTTGGCCTACTATACCACGCTGGCCAGACGGGTTAATATAGGGTTGATGTCAAGTTTTCCTTCTCTTTGAAGCGCTGTTGTCCTGCGTACTTTGCTCCCTTAGTCGGCTCTTACGATACCCACGGGACGAATAGTGGTGGTGACATACCTTATTCTTAATCCGTCATCACACACATAATAGAGTATTGTAGAAGTGTTATGTTATTATTTATACTCCAGCATACACTTAGCTATAAAATTAAGATTTATTATCAAAGCCCTTGACTTAATGCATAAACGGAATAAATTACTTAGGCGCAATCTTCTGTAACATCAAGCTTCGAACGGAGTTCAGAATCTGAATATTTATATGGAAAGCAAATAGACTGAGTCCCGAAACTTTGAATACTTATAAGGTTGGGTCACAGAGCGGGCGGGGCGGGACAATGACTTCGGGTGAGTGGATGAAATGTCGTTCTGGCGTCGAGTGTCGAGTGTAACGGCGTAAAACGATATACATATATTGCATTTATAGATGAAATTGAGAATAAAACAATAGATCGAGCAGATCAAGGAACCGTTGAGAATAGAAAATGAAGAAGTGTTCAAATTTCGCAAATGTAAAGCTGCGACATGCTTAACAACTAAATCGGATGTCGATTAAGCTATAGCTGCCGGTTAACTTAAACGTAATCTACACAAATAAATAAAACTCTATACACTCTCTCTCTCTACTCGTACTCTATACAAATAAATAAAATTGAAGTGTCTGTTTGTATTGTCAAAATTATAGGTTTTTTCATGCTCGCACGGTTATTTGCACGATACCTATGCCTAAAAAACAGTTTTTTTTATCTGTATGTCTGTTGTTGTTGTTGTTATGGGTAATCTTCTAAACGGCTGGACCGATTTCAATAATATTTTACTACCAGGTAGCTGTCTACATTAGGAATAACTTAGTCTATTTTGACTCTCAGAAAAACCCTTTAGAATTTTGCCTGATCCGGGCATCGAACCCACTAAGGCAGCGCTTTTCAAATTCCACGCGAACGAAGTCGCGGATACCAGCTAGTATTATATATGTACTTAGACTTTATAAATTCTGTTATAAATATTGTATACGTGTATGAAAAGCATTTAAGGTATTAGAAAAGACAAGAAATAATAGTTTTTCTAAGTATGGTACTCATCATGCGTAGGGATGAGGAAAATGTGGCGAGGAAAGTGTTAAGTATTGGAGTTGAAGAGCAAAAGAGAAGAGGAAGATCAAAGAATAGGTGGATGGAGTGTGTGACAGTGAATATGGCTAAGAGGGGAGTAAACAGTGAAATGACGAATGATAGGATAGAGGGGAAGAGTAATACATACTACGCCGACCCCAAATAAAATTGGGATAAGAGTAGACAGGTGATGATTTGGACATATTTAAGCGGTCATTTTTAAATTTTCGTTTTTTTTTACTCATTTCAAATATATTACATTGCATTTATGTTACTTCTACAGTCTAAAAATGTACACAAAATGTTAGCGACATTGTTTTAAAGCAAAGATTCGTCGATAAACACAGAGTAATAAAGATAATGATCACGTGACTAAAGCACCCATAAAGCAAACATAGTATTTTAGAGTCCATTGCTGGTTTCATTCTTGTCTGTTGCTTTACTGCAAATGATCAGGAACCGTTAAACGAAAGCTATTGTCGCATGGCCACTAACACAGCGATTATGACATACTTGTAATTTAGTTTTAACAAGCACCTTAAAAAAATTTGAACTCTATTAAAAGCATTCTATTTTATATTTTAATTCTGAGAATTGCGGTAGTTAGCCCATTAGTTCCCACCCTTAAGAGGTATGCAAAGCTAGCAATGAACCGTAAGAACTGAAGTTATTGAGACTGAAACGTCAGTTATCAGATAATCCTCGTGGCAATCGGAGTGTGGGAAATGTTGGCAAGTCAGTTATGGAAATTTACGTTTTTCACGTATAATAGAACGTTAAAGATAGCACATATTACATTACCAATCAACTAAAATATACAATACACAACACTACATACATAAATGCTCATAAAATATATACTTACTATATATATATATATAGTGAGTATATATTACATATATACAAACATGCATATTTATGTTATACTAGCTGACCCGCGCAACTTCGTCTGCGTCTCTCAATAGTAATAAATTTTCTCCGTTTTTGAAACATTCTTCATTGGTGCTCCGCTCCTATTGGTCTTAGCGTGATGATATATAGCCTATAGCCTTCCTCGATAAATGGGCTATCGAACACTGAAAGAATTTTTCAAATCGGACCAGTAGTTCCTGAGATTAGCGCGTTCAAACAAACAAACAAACAAACAAACTCTTCAGCTTTATAATATTAGTATAGATTCCTACACTATGTATATTAGAAAATTGATTGGTATACTATCGATTGGATGTCTTTAGCTTCTAATATTAATAATGTAGTTGCTGTAGTAACTAAGATATGCCATTAAACGCTAACCGCCGCTGCTTTCGTGGCTTTCCCGTTTACCTCATACTGTTTTCCAGTCACTCAAAGCCATTTCGTCATGACACAACTTTGTTCCATTTTCAAATTTTATGTTGGACGTAAACTTTAGTTTCTGCTATGTAATATGCAGTATGAACCGTATGAACAATGAATGATTTTTGATGGAAATGGCTTCTAAAATTGTATTGACAGCACCTGTGACGATAGAAGCAATAAATATTTAAGTACAAAAGTATTGGTATATTGTTGTGTAGAAATTGTTTCTTATTAATATTGCAAGTAGTTACAGTGCCTGTATTACTGTGCGGTATAATATCTAAAATATTACTTCGTAAAATTATTTAGACTTTTTTTAAATTATAAATGAAATTTTATTTCAATAAACATAAAATTTATAAACACAATGCCAATAATACATATGACTAAATGATACATCAAATGACCCGCCCCTGTCGCTCCCGGCGCAAAGGTGGCCATAACGCTAGCTGCGTTGCACGCTGAATGGCAATAGCCAACCTCTGCACCAGACTCGAACCGACTAAAACCGCACGCCGTCTCGGGTACTAATAGCCGGGGAACCAGGTATACCCTAGAAAGGAAGTCCCTGACATACCTCGGGTCATCTACAACAAGTAGACGACCCCCCCCCCCCCCCGTGTGGGAACCCCATGGAGACGGCAGAGTTCTCGCTCCGCACGATAGCCGCAATCAGGCTATCGAGCGAGAGAACTCCAGGACCCCCGCCCTTACCAGGAACTACCCTGAGCAACGCCTTAGCGTCTGTACTCCAACTGCCCGCAAGGTCTCCACTGGTATGGGCACGAACCAATACATGGTCTCCAAAGACGCGTACTTTAGCTTTATCTAAAATACACACAAAGAAAATTCAAAAATTGTGTACCTACGCCTACCGAGCACTAAAAAAATTTTAAAAAACTTGTTTAAGCAATGTGCCACATTATCAAAATAAGAAGAAAATTTAACTTTGGCGGAGTAATAACTGTTTTTTTCTGGTGTAACGAGCACTAGATTAATTTAAGAAATATTTGATTGTCTATTAAATACAATTGCATGAAAGTACCTGACCTTCATGCGACTCAGAACCGTTTGCTATCGAGTGTAAATCGCTTTTTGGAACACCTTGTAGAGGCCCCTGTGACCATTTTCATAAATTTCAGAAACGCAGATAGAATATTTTTAATACAAAAAGATTTCTTTACAACTGCAACTGACATAATATAAAACCTTCATTGAACCCTGAAACAAAACAAAGTACAACCTTTTCCACTTGCTATTTACATAACAAATGACGCTTGAACAAAAACATCTTAATTTCACATTGTGCCTATATGAAAGACAGTTTGCATATAGTATTTACAGCAAAGCAAATGAACAAATAAACGATTAAATTAATCCTTTTGTTCAAATCTATGAATCTTTTAAATTACAACATTATTTTTACCTACAGTAAAGCATAACACATTACAAATATCGACCTTAAAACATTGGAATTAAGAGCGATCATTATTATAAAATGACATAAGTTTTTAATCGATTGTTTCCAAATCTGTTTCTGTTTATACAAATGTTGTATAATTTGTACAATACATGCAGATGTATATATATTGGTGTTGTATGAAATCTGGCTTGTATAGTATATACCGTTTGGTCGCACAAGACCTACAAAATGCTGCCTATCATATTGGTTCTGCTCTTCGCTACAGTAAGTGTGTTTTTATCTTCTTATATTGCTTTTGGTATAAACGTACCGTCCAGGCTCATTGCATCGACTATGGAGGACGGTTGAATATAGCTTACTAAATTAACAAGTCAAGTCAAGATTAACAAGTCTTTAGACTTAGCTCTTATATAGAAAGGTTCATTTAATTTGTGTATAAAATGAAAACTACTTTTAAAATTGAGTTCAAAAAGTCAGTTTTGTGAACAGGGTAACTCGAACCGTCCAAGTTATACGCTTAAGCCTACCTTTAAACGTTCAATTATTATTAACAGTTCATTACATGTTAAATTCTTAAACTGTTTTCTATGAAGAGGGTTTTTTTATTTATTTTCCCCGTTATCCGACCTTATTTGTGAAGTGTTATTTAAATATCCTGTAATATTTGGTGTAAGTTCTTAATAAAATTGTAGTGGTTTAATATTTTTACTCCTGTTTCTTGTCATATGTACATTAAATGATACAAAATACATAAGTGGTCATTAATTCAGCAAAATACAACTTCAAAGAATTAGCGCTATTGCCCTGCTAACACCTGAACATGGTCCATACACGACTAGTCAACTGTTAAGTTATCTACTGATAACCTATATAAACTGATCGTACTTCAAATATAAAATGAATACCTTTGTCAATTGGTGTTTAAAAGCTCACTGAACTTTATCAAAAGTCTCAATACGCGTCCACCTGGGAATATTTGGATTTACATGATAGTGACAATAAATTTGTACTTATTGGGATAAAAATATATAAAATCGACGATATCTTAGTTTGAATACATTATAAGTATACCTTTAAAGTTTATATATAGAAATATCAACTACTTTAAAACTTCTGCTGTTATATAATAGAATCTACTAAACGGCTTGCAACACCAAGGGTTTTACATTCATATTACACAAAATATCCATTAGAACTTCTGAATTATAACAGAATAGATAATAGTGTTAATGTAGAGAAACTCTGTCGTCTGTAAATAAGAAAATCAATTTTCAGAAAACATTTGATGTTACAGGAAAGTTTTCTTGACTCTTCATCGTCGTCATTATGCTGAAGATATAAGATTGTCATTTAATATGTAGGAGCACATCCAAATTTACAAACAAGTTTAACGGTAATTACGATAGTAATCGTTTGTCATCCGTACTACTTTTCTTTTGTTTTTTTTTTTTTCAAAGAGACGAGGTTAATATGGATTGGTTGACGCAAAACCTGCATTGGATATAACAGGATTCAATCAAAGGAAAGAAGATTTGTTATAAATAATATAAAAATATAAATGTTATATAATTGTAACAATCCTTTGAATTTATCTATTTACACAAGTATTTCAGTTACGAAAATAAATGTCATCAATATGAATACAAGGATATTCTTATCATACTTAATACAATCTTCACTAAAATATTATAAGCACAAAGTAAGTTTATTTCCTTGTTTATTTATTACATTTTAACACTTCAACTACTAAACCGATATCCATACAATTTTGAATACAAGTTGACAGACGTACAGAAAAGAACACAGGGTATCTTTTACCATGAAATAAATACCGTGTTCAAGTGATAAAAAAGTTAAACAAAAGTTAGTATAAAATTTATATTTAATTCTAAATATACGTTTTAAATAATTATACATACCAACATAAGTAAAAGTCCTGTTGCTAACCATATTTGATGGTCACCGTATTTTCATATGAATAAATGTATAGCGAGATTGAGGTAGACAGGGTTCCAAGGGTTCTGAAAGTATAATATATTGAAATTGAGTTGTGTAAATGACGGAACGTTCGATACGATAATATCGTATCGGAAATTCCGGGTCTGACAACCAATTTCGTACTATAATTGCAAAATTGTGAATATCCTACTAATATTATTAAATGAGTGTGGTTTATATGAATAGATAGGTATGTTTCTACACTACGAGTATATGTATTGGGAAAGGTCCACAATAACATATTTTATTAGAACTGTATCACTTGGTCATTGTAGACCATAAAAAAAAAAAACCGGTCGACTGCCTCGGTGGTGCAGTAGTAGCGTATGCGACTGCTGTGCTGAGGTCTCGGGTTCGAATCCCGGATCGCACCAAATATTTGTATGATCAGCAAATTTTTGTTTCTAAGTTGTAGTTGTCTGTAAGTATTCTATCAGTCAATCTAGTTTTCATAGTAAAAGCTCTGCTTAGTTTGAAACTAGATGGTTGTGTATCAGATGTCCGAAATATAATTATTTTATTTTATTCTTCTTATTCTTTATAAGCATATAGTTTTAAGATATGTTTTCAAACTATTCTTCGAGAACTATATGTTCTTAATTCGAATGAGGATTTTAAATAACGGTGTTTTTTTTTTGTAATACAACATAGAAAAACCAAGACATTTTCCAACCCCTTTTTTTATCATTTGTACTGATATTTTGTTTTTTTATAATTGCTGCAGAGCGCCTTAGCCGCCCCCACCGTGCAAGTGATCTTAAACAGCATCGACGAAGTACCCCCAGAACCCAGCAATGGCAGACCAATTGGAGCGTAAGTGCATTCTTTTTATTCATCTTCGTTTCCGCCGCCATAAAATGGCGGATTATCATTGTCACAACTCCCTCAATATTGATATCAAATGCAGCTCGACTAGTAGAATACTATACACTATGACAAATTTCAAATCCAAGTGTGTCGGCGTTTTTTTTAACAAGTTTTCATTTTACACTAAATGGTGTATAATAGAGGTGAGGTCTCGTGGCTAAGTGGTAACCAAGTAGGTTACCACTTAGCCACGAGACAAAGTTAAGCAATCATAGTCAGGTCAGTCGATGGATGGGTGACCATTCTTAACACATTGAGACCCCTCCATGTGGCAATCGTTACGGGTAGTTGGAGCCCCTTAAATGTCCGACAACAGTCTATCTACAGAACTTCGATATTGCCTAGTACTTGGGTTTTGGATGATGGCAGTTGATTTGCGTAAAAAATCGAAGTTCAGCCGTACCGTAGTAGACTTAAAGACGACCACAACCTAGTTGGAGAAAAAGGCCTGGAGGGGAAGGAAGATATTTTTCACAACCAAGATTCCATATTGCACTGAATAGTTTTTAATAGAGGCAGTGTGTGGTGTTTTGAACAGTTCACATTTACTTTGTCTGCTGCGAATTCCTGTATCAATTTTGTCAGTTATAAAATTATTGACAGTAGTAAATTATCACGGGGTGATACCACAGCGTCACAGTAAACCGGTGTTAAGCTGTTTCCATAACTTTTCACCGACTCACTCAGTGACGGTAGACGATGTCATTATCATCATCTGCCTACCCTTATCCCAATTTTATTTGGGGTCGGCGCAGTAGGTATGATTCTTCCATTCTACTCTATCGTTCCTTATCTCACTGTACTTCCTTCTAGCCATATCCTCTCTCGCACAGTCTATCCACTTTTTCTTTGGCCTTTCTCTTCTCTTGTACCCTTGTATCATCCAGTTTCGCTACTTTCAGACTTCCTCGTATATACTTATTTCTAGCCTGGTCTATCCGAGTCACACCACACATCCATCTTGGCATTCGCATTTTCTGTCTATATCTAGATATATTTATAAGAGATTTCCACGTATATAGTCACTCATCACGATATCTCTGGAACCATTAGAGCTAAAGACTTGAAATTTGGTAGGAATATTCTTTTCACCGAGTAGAGGTCAGCTAAGAACGGATTTTAAGAAATTAAAAAAAAAAAATAATGTAAATAGCAAAACAACGTTTTCAGGGTCAGCTAGTAATAAATAATATCTATAAATTGCTTGAGTCCAAACCGCCTCTGACTCAAAGGGGGGGGGGGGGGGGGTGTAGTCAAAGAACGACAATGCACTTCTGACCCTTGAGCTGAAGGTCCCATGGAGTCACTTAAGTACCAGTAGGTGACTTGTCTGCTCGTTTGACCCCAATCTCATTAAAAGGATAAAATTCATCATCAACAGCTTTTACTAGTCTACTGCTGGACATATGCCTCTCTTTAGAAAGGAGGTCTATAACATCAATGTCAGAAAAAAGCATGGGCTAATTCTTAAATACTTAGTTTATTTAATCATGGTTGTTATTCTGTTATTTCAGTTTTCTCCTAACCAATGCTTTTGACGTCATAGACGGTGGCGAGAAGAACGTTAACATCCATTATCTTCTGGATATCTTACCCCAAATGAGCAACTTGCCCGACAAAACGAGCCAAGCTGCTGCCTTAGCACAGGCAGTAGCTATCATGATTGAACTCTCTACCGGGTACCCTGGAGATGCTTGCGTAACTTCAAACGTAAGTAACTTTCTAATGATGATAATTATTCAGTATCAAGGGAAAGTATACAACAGACTTTATGATGTTATTGTATCCTGACCAAAGAAGAAACAAATAACCATCAAAATTTTAAAGCTGACATAACCATTAATAATTTTTCATAAAACAACTTTCAACCATAATAATCCTATAATTTTCCACCGTTAGGAGTGGTGTTTTAAATGGGAAACATACCCTTCTAAAAAAAAAAGTTTATAAATAACGTAGTTCATAGGTAAACATAAAAATATTTGATCGTTAATTATTGCTGCCCATTGGCTGTGGCATAAACGAATAAAAACTGCACGAAACTAAAATTAATGCACGGACTCAGAACAATAATTAGTACACAAAGTGTCGTCCCATGTGGGGATCGGACCCATAACACTCAGCGTAGTATCAAGCGGCGTAACCACCACGCCATCCGTGCATTCATTTAAATGTAGCAATATTTAAATGTAAAACAGATTTATTAATTACTTTAATGTGAAGATTCACATTATTATATTTTTATACTTCTCCTACTGTAGTCATTTGGTGGTATTCTATTTCAATAAAATAAAGTATGGTTATCTAGTGACAACTATTTCACAGGTGCCTTGTACAGGCAAGTTAAAGTTATAAATAAATAGACATAAATAGGTGGGTTAAGAATACAGAGTGTCACCACCCCTATTCATCCCGTGGGTGTGTGGGTGTCGTAAGAGCCGACTAAGGGAAAAAACTACGCAGAACAACAGCACTGCAGAGAAGGAAAACTTGACACAAACCCTATACCAACCCGTCTGACCAGCGTGGTATAGTAGGCTAAAACCTCCTTTCTAAGGAGAGGCTTATGTCCAGCAGTGGACTGTTAAAGACTGTTGATGAGATATAAATAGATTGGAAGTATACCAAATAAGAGCAAGTAAAACACTACAGTCGCTTCTGTCTTAATAGTGCAATGAATCTGGAAGAAGCGCAAGCTGTAGGATTGTGGAAAAAATGCGCTCCTACATCTCTGCACCACCCAGACAAGAATATAGCGTGAACATATACATTTTTGGTTTCAGTTTATCGATTTCTACGTTAATGCCATCCGCTCCGGCAACGTTAGAGCTGCTCGTGCAGCAGCCGCCAGCCACGTGCGAGGCCTCGCCTCCGTCCTCAACTCCATCACTCAAGTGGTTCTCAACCCTGTAACATCCCGTTTCGCGGTAAGACCAATATTTACAAATATTTACAATAAGATACGCAATTAAGTCTTTTTGAATATCATATCTATATTTGTAGAATAAAAAACACAGATGTATTGAAACTGTTACAAACAATAATTGAAAAAAAAGGTACACAACATTTCCTATTAATTTTCAAATAAAATTTTCAAACTCAAAATGATTTATTCAAATTACCAAATAACAGTTCTATCAGGTCATACATAATTTTCTAGAACAATCCATAGAGCCCCGAAATCAATCTGTGACACAGTTCGATCAACCAAATTTTGCCCAACGATTTGCAGACTCAATGCATACTAAACAAGGCATGGTTTCCATAAATTATTTGATGCAGATCCTTTCACCAGCGTTCCGCCTCAACAATTTGGACAACTATTCTCCTATTGTTATTGATATAAATGATTTTTCTCTCACATCGCGGACTATGATTAATTGTCAATATATCGACAAGAGTGTTGGTATGAAATATTGCTTATAATGGATCGTCACATCCGACAATCAGTTTATAAGAAATGTTGAATTATGGTGGGAATTGGCGTCTTTGTATTGAATAGATAACGTGTGTTGTTAGTTTGATGGAATATATTTTTGGATTCGCATATCTAAACGAAATTACTCTAATTTTCTCAATATTGATTTGTATATTAAACACTGCGATCATTACTGTATTACGATGTTGTTAAAATTAAACTAATAATGTAAAGCTGAAGGGTTTGTTTGGTACTAGTTCGAATTGAAAATTATTTTAGTTTTGAATAGCCCGTTTATTGAAGAAGGCTATATAACATCTCATCCGTTTGGTGACGGATTAAGAATACAGAGTGTCACCATCCCTATTCATCCCGTGGGTGTTGTAAGAGCCGACTAAGGGAGCAAACCACGCAAGACAATAGCACTGCAAAGAGAAGGAAAACTTGACACAAACCCTATACAGCCCGTCTGACCAGCGTGGCATAGTAGGCCTCCTCTCTAAGGAGAGGATAGTCCAGCAGTGGACTATTAAAGGCTGCTGATGATGATGATGATGAAATAACATCACGCTACGACTAACAGGAGCCGAACATTAATGAAAAACTGTACAAAAACCACCCTGACTCGGTACTCGGACCATATAATCTCCGTCAATTTATCACAACGCAGAAATTGGTTATAGGTAATTCCGTAAAGCTATACTCAATTTGGGCGTATTCACGCGACAGATTGCAGTTCAAGTGTGGCGGCAAATCGTCACACTTAAACACAATCGTTTTGAAAGTAAACAGTAAATTAAAATCTGAACAAAATATTAAAAAAAAACAACGAAGTAGTATTTACATTTTCCAAAGATTTGATTAATAAGTAATTAGAAATATGTCTTTTGCTAAAGAACAGTGTATCATGATTGATATGAAATCAGTTTCAAACCTTGATTTTTCAGTGACCTAACCTATGCCAAGATATGTTAGAGTTTGTATTACTTTTAATTTGAATGTTGTTGTTCTTAGAACGGCCGAAGGGGTACATGCCAAGCCGGTGGCGCAGCCTATCAATTTGAAGCAGCTTGGGACATTGCTAGCTCCAATGCCGCATCTGCAGAGTAAGAAAATAAGTTTTTTTTAATATTTCTAGAATTTACTGAAGGTCACAGTACCTTATTAGCACTAAAGTTGCTATATTGTATATATTATGGTATAGACTTTGGTCAGCGCGCAACTTTGGCGCTTCAGCAGATAAGTGCTTAATTTAACATGGGTAAGCACTTACCATTTTTATCTTATGCTTTGCTGTCATATACACCCATAGAACAATGATACAACTTACCTACATTAATGATAAAAAATAAAATACGAGAGACTACTTCTTAGTTCACAGCTTTAGACGGATCTCCCATGTCAAGCTGTGAACTAAAAAGTTATAGTTAAAAAAAGACTAAAAAGACGAGGGGTGCTAGATGACGATTTTTGTAAATATTTAATTTACAGATATTGGTGAAGTTAAAGTTATAATAGTATAAAATATCTTGAAAAACATCCCACGCTTTCTTACGATAAAATGGTTTTTAGTTTTTAAGTTGTAGAAAATCGAAAATTAATTCGCAATTTTCAGTTTTTAAGTCATAATTTATTTCTGATGTTTCTGATGTAGTCATTTATTTTGATTATTTTCTCATTAAAGACTAAAAAAGTAACAAGTAAGTAAGTCACATATGCTTCAGTACACGCCTCTTAGTACGTAGCAAAAGACACTACCGTATTTTTAGGTACGGAAAAAGCCGTTAATCCTGAAGATAAGAATAATAATAGGAGAAATTTATCAAACTATTGTATTTTCATCGGTCCTCGATAAGTGTGCAAAGATTCAATTATATCCGACACTTTGAAGGGGTGGAAATCACCTTCAAAGATTCCGTTACACAGATACATAGATTCATACACACCAAAGCGTGTTGAAAACTAATTTTTATATGACACGCATAACTTATCTTAATTAGTATTTATAGTGCCGTCCGACAAAAGAAAAGAGGTACCCTTATTGTTACATTCTGGATAAAAAGTTAAAATTACGATGTCGGTTAATTTTTTTATTCAAACATCTGACACACAACGCCATCTAGTTTCAAACTAAGCATAGCAAAAAAAGGAAAGAAAGAATTTCAAAAGCGCTGCCTTAGTGGTGGTTCTGAACATTACCCGGAACAAACAAACAGACAAAAAATATTTAAAATGGTATTGAGGCATAGCTATCGTGCAAATAACCGTGTAAGCATGAAAAAACCTATTATTTTGATATTACAAACAGACACTTCAATTGAATTTATTTGTATAGATTGTCGACCCTTTGCTCATCTTAAACATACTCGGGTTGAGACGACCACTTCGCCCTCTGTCTAACTATCAAGTTCTCTTTTAAAATCAAATTAACATCTAATGTGTTTACTGGGTGGCTTCCCGTGGGTGTCGTAAGAGCCGACTAAGGGCGCAAAACAACGCGGGACACCAGCACTGCAAAAAGAAGGAAAACTTGACACAAACCCTGTGCCAACCCGTCTGGCTAGCGTGGTATAGTAGGCCAAAACCTCCTTTCTAAGGAGAGGCCTACGTCCAGCAGCGAACTATTAAAGGCTGTTGATGTGTGATGTGATGTGTGCCTTCTGGTAGACTCTACTAGGTATATCTGAACTTAAATGTGCTAGAAATGAGTTCGCGTCTGGCTATAACCCGCAACTGTCTTATCATAAGTTTGACCTCTTATCCTATAATCATAATAATTAATATTGCAGCCTTTTCCAAGAGCAATATTGCGCAGTTAAACGTCTATACAATGGGTTCAGCGCAATCAGCAGGAATGTAGGTGCAGCTGCCACCGCTGCTGCCCTACCAGACATTATAGAAATCGTCAAAGAAGCCTCTGGTGCATTAGTTAACGTGAGTATTCCTTCAAAACAGTACAGGCCTTTTATTAAAAATGTTCAACCAAGTTTTGTCTATGTGCTAAATTAAAAATGCATTTTTTCCTGAAACATTCGATAGTTATGTATTCAGGTCTCGGAAATGAATCCGGGTCATATTAGAACAAAACTAAGAATGTTTAGAAACGAAAGTAATAAAACTAATTTGTCCTTTTATTTCCCAATAATTAAATATAACACAAAGAAAAAACAAATCGTATCTTAAAACAAAAAATCAATTCTTTATTTTCCTACAACATTTTTTTTTCAAATTTCAGTACATTGTATTACATATGCCGTTACTGCGATTGTGCAGTTCGGAATGTTATATAAAAAGTTTATTCTACGATGTTAAGTAATATTGGTCAATATTCCCCCTTTAGTAATTGCTCTTCTTAAGCATATTCGATCGGGTTGAGAAATTTCAATCTGAAACGGGTTCACAGCTCTTAAGTATGCTATTTACTTAATTAAAAATTGCAACAATCAGATTTTATGAACAATAGTGGAAAGCATTTAAACAGACGTTTACTTTTAGATGTGAATCATGTTTATTGCTAGATATGATATCCTCGTTCTATCTCAGCCTTGTTTTCACTAAGTTCTAATGTTAATATGTTACCTTACCACAAAATTTATCTACATGTCAAATATCATTCAAGTTTGTTAGGTAATTTCGGTGTTATTACATAAAAACATTCAAACATACTTGCAAACTGGAAATAACACATCATAAATGTATTTTTAATTATTTTAAATTTACTTTTTTTAGCTCCTGGTAGCAGTAGGTTCTGGAAGCGGAAATATTGTACAAGCAACTAGTATTGCCCAACAGGCCCTTATCTCTGCAGCTAACAACCACTCTTAAAAATACTTTTAATATTTATATAAAGTTATACATATAAGATTATATACTATACACATTCATTAATCTCCTTTTATTATATATAGTTATGTATACAACCTAACAATAGGTCAAACCGAAATTGAAGACTACTTCAGTTCTTGATGAAATTAGATATACTTGTATATAAATATATGTTGATATAATAAACACAAAATGACTTGGCTTTTCATTTTTCGGATGTGATTTTGTTTAATAAAGATGTATCCAACATACAATCTTTTATTTCTGATTTAATATATTACAATTTTATTTATTAAACAATAATATAAGTTATTATAGGTTTTTTTTAACTGAATTTAGGTCAAAGCACGGACAAAACTGCTAGACTCGATTCCTAAACTATTTATAACTAGCTTAGCATCTAAATCGGTTAAACGGTTATTGATTACCCATACAAACCCAACCACTATACCGCGCTGGCCAGACGAGTTGTTATACGATTTGTGTCAAATTTTCCTTCTCTTTGCGGTGCTGTTGTCCTGCGAAGTTTGCTCCTTCAGTCGGCTCTAACTACACCCACGAGATGAATTGAGATGATGACACTCTGTATTCTTAATCCTTCACCACACAGAGTAATAATATATTCCTAAAATATAATAATATATTTCTAAAAGCCAAAAAGAGATGAGAACAGCAGGTAACTGTTAAATTTCCAGCAAACGTAGTGGACGCTATCTATCTCCCTTTAGAGATAGACGGATAAACATCACGACTAGTGTGTGGTATTTTTGTAGGATCAAAGCGTTACAAACACCGGTAGCCATTGTATCAAAAATCATCATCATCATCATCAACAGCCTTTAATAGTCCACTGCTGGACATAAGCCTCTCCTTAGAAAGGAGGTTTTGGCCTACTATACCACGCTGGCCAGACGGGTTGGTATAGGGTTTGTGTCAAGTTTTCCTTCTCTGTGCAGTGTTGTTGTTCTGCGTAGTTTTTTCCCTTAGTTGACTCTTACAACACCCACGGGATGAATAGGGGTGGTGACAATCTGTATTCTTAATCCGTCACCACACGGACTAGAACGTATCAAACGTAACGTATCAAAAATGCAATCACATAACACAATAAAACTGCGATATAAGAATACAAAGTACAGTACAGGATGTGTAGAACTCTGGTCTGACATGTAAAATGTGAGTATGTGCGCGTGTGCATGTTTATGTGTGCGCAAGCATGCGTGCATGCATATGTGCCTGTGTATAATATACACATGCACATATGCTGAATATTTTATCAGGAGGTAAATTACTGAATATAGCATAAACCACATAATATTTTTCCTGTGATGTGAATTCATTTGTATCGGGACAGTTAATAGTGTATAACGTGTATTATGTTAAACACGATGTTTATATTGTTGATGTTTATATATTTATTCATAATGGCCAATATTGTGGGATCTGAACTGAGGTGTCGCGTCAAAAAACGATATGGTATGGTTTTTATTTACCTACATGTGTTTTAATTATAAACATTGTATTCATATATGTCTACATTCAAACGCTGTAAAACAATGTGTGACCAAGGTCATTTTAGTGATTACTAACGAACATATTGATATCGCCCTGTAGGTATTATTGGAACCGAGCCACAACACACATCGTCAGGATGTTTCGAACATTTAACACCCATCTGTGTAGAAAATTATGAAAAAAGTGACGTACCTTCTGCGTCTAAAAATAATTATTTCTGCATTAACATTTAGTCTTTTGTTCTCAGAACTCCGTCATTTATCGACCGATTTGAAAAAAACTCTTTTAATTTGGTTATTTAGAATGTTGGTGTCGTGGTTAGTGACCCTGACTGCTAAGCCGACGGTCGTGGGTTCGATTCCCACCCAGGACAAGTAATTGTGTGATAAGCATGATCATTTGTTCTGTGTCTGGATGTAATTTATCTATGATATGTATGTGTTTAGAAAGTATGTTTAACGGCAATTTGATTACCATAACACAGGCTCTGCCTAGTTTGGGTATGAAGGAGCAACTTTCGGCTATATTTTGTGATCGTGCACGGGTGTCGGTTGATTTTTCTTGTAGACGCGTGAAAAGTGCATTCAGTTTTTGTCTGTAGGTAGTCATATCAGTTTCTAATTTAGTAATGTGAAGGCAGCTCCGCCTGATAAATATGTTAACGTCATTGGTCCATTTCATGCAAACTCTCGTTTTCAGCCTTAGTGGAAGCAGGTAAAAAGGTAATCGTAGGTAAACGCAGGTAAGGTAAAAAGGTGAATATGATATTGTGCTTCGGCTATATGATTCTATAGGCGTATTTGTCCTATTGCTATGTCTTTTACCATACTCATATGTTTCGTCTGTAGCATTTTTGTCTTTGGAAGCCCACCTGCTCCACTCCTCCTTGCTGAGACATCCAGCGTCAGCTCCAGATGTGCCCCAGCAATCGCCGGGCAGCGGTCCTATACGTTTTCTTTTTTAAACGTGTCTGCATTTGGAATGGGTTTCCAGAGCCACGTAATTTCTTATTTGTCTGTCTCCTACCCACGTGTTTACATGGTCAATCAGGACGTGTGGATGTTTAGGGTGCTATTATTATTATTATTTGATAAAGCAGGTTGTTGCTGTTGTGTGTGTTGATCTATAACTTTAGAGTCTTACAGTCTAGTCTCTATAGAGTATTACATACGGAGCCAAGATCCTGATATCTATTTTCACACTTGTTTTGATACAGCATCATTTTTATTGTAGGTATAACAGAAAATTTGCCAGAATATTCAAAAAGGTCGACACGCAGAAACAAAAAATTATCACCCAACAAAGTTATTTCACCTAAATATAGAATATTACATTCATATCCCAGTTATACACATATTTTACTACAATTACTTTTTATACTACTTAAAGCCGAAGGTAAATAAAATTTAATAGGTAACAAAATTGACATACTAATGGATATACCATAGTATGTCATAATACCAAACATGGTGATGGTGGTAGCCATCAGATGACCCGTCTGCTATATTGCCACTATACCAACAAAAAAATTTTTTAGATATTAAAGTTCAAGAAATTTAGTGTATTTTATAACAGAAATGTAAGCATAAATAGAAGGCATTTAAAAGAAAAAAATATAGCTAAAAATATTAATTAATCAATTCTGCGGTCAACTCGAACTGGCTCTTTCATGGCGATGTGAGCGAACTTTAACTTTATTTTATGGATTGTGTTATGGTTACACGGTATTTCAAAATAAGAGTTATTTGTCCTATTCCTTATCTTGAAAAGTACTTCATTTATTATTTTTTACGTCATAATTCGTTTTCTATTTCAGAACAGAAGAAGATCTTCTTAATCAGGAAACCATCGCAAGAGCTGAATGATTTCACGGATACTTATGGTTTTGAACGAAAGACTTTCCAAGAGATGAATGAAAAATTAATGAAAATGTGTGGACATTTTTACAACATTCAACTTTCAACATTTGACATTAGTATCAATGAGACACTTAAAGCGATTACTAAAGAAAAGTGAGTTTGCTGCAGTACTGTTAAGTTATGTCTATACCAGTAAGATTTTGTGTTCACCTTGCATCATCGAGTTACGTTGTGCGTCAAGCAAGCAAACATGCAATATTGATTAAGTCATAACTAATTATTTTATATAGTCATATTGATTAACTCATAATATAATTTAAATCAAATTTACCGTGGAACACGTGGAACTTCCAGCCGAGACGACAAACGAGCCATCGTGGCTCTGCGAAAGGCTTCACGTCACTGGCGTACCTCTTCGGGCGGGGACCGACTGCCACTATCCGCTCGAAACTCAGCCGGCTGCCGATGTAACATCGAAACGGTGCGGTAACCGCGGATATCCACTGAGGACGCCAGAGACGTGACCTTTTTTGGACGGTTAGAGCGGGTTGCTTACACGTACAGTATTGAACGGACAACCCCCGACTACAGCCGTCTTGTCGCGACGGTGGGTCCACCCAAACTGGATAAAAGTCACCCAGGAGCAGACGCAGTGCCGCCCAGTCTTGGAAATTTTTTGTATCCTTGTTGCAAAATCGTACGATAATGGGTTGAGTAGTTAAGGTCTGAAAGCAAAACAATAAACATACATACCCACTATCGTATTTATAATGTAACTTAGGATTAGAGTTCAATCAGATAACTCTGGGTTTGATATTTTGCAGATATCTTGTTAATCGAGGAAGCGAAGCCCATCCAACACTTAAATAAAGCCATCTTGATAGAATTGCAGTAAATAAAGTTAACTGTAATAATAAAAACTTGTACCTATACTTTTTTTTCATTTCAGTAACGTTATCAACTTATGGGTTCGTGATTACTACGATAACACATCAGATGTACACCATCACAAAAGACTTGTCTACGCTGGCGATGTAGTGTATCAACCAATTTTATTCGATGACAGACCAGAGTCTGATGCCTGCAGTAACTCTAAAGATCAAGAAAGTGAAAAACGAATAGCCAAAATTGTCAGCAAAAGTGTTGCCAATATAAATTCTGGAGATTTTGTGGATTTCGTATCATCTATCCAATATGAAAATAATACTGTCACATCTCGACGTTCATGTCTGAAACAGGCAAATAAAACAACAGACTTGACAATAGTTCTAGTCTGCTCTGATAAGTGGAAAAATTGTTTGAATAAGAACTGGTTTGTCGCAAAGAATTTAAAGTTTAAATTTCAATCAACAAATACATGCGGAGAGTTTACAAAAATATACCAAAATAATATACTGGCAGTGTTGGCTCCTACCCCGTTTGAGATGGAATATGAGGTAACGATCCCAACGATTTTTTATGAAACTCCTTACATGTCCTCGGAGCACAAAACACTTTTTCCAAATTCAATGAATTTAATATCAGGCCTGTTACTGAAACATGTGTTTATGAAGTTTATTAATAAAGCCGGTTGGCGTAGAGTCGCAATTATATCAGATGAGACACCATACAGCTTTGACTTTGAAGTAGAAATGCTGGATCTGTTCCATGGGAATCAAATACTATATAACGTGCAACGATGTAAAAATGCAGATGATTTCGAAAAGGTAAGTTCATCTATCAGTCTAGTTTCAGTTCTTCATTTATTACGACAACAAAGGAGTTTGTTTATTAGGTGAGACCAATCATATTTTAAGGAAGATATTTACCTTATATTCATACTGCACGCACAAAATATTTGTTTCATCAAATTTATCAATCATAATAATATGCAATTAAATTCTTGGTAAGTTAGTAAATTTTAAATCATAACATGCCCTAATTTATCGTTTGTTTTTTGTATTCTGCAGGACATTATTGTAAAATATAATTAATTTCCTTTTGATGATTATGTTATTTATATTTTAAATGTTATTATTAAATGTTGAGTATTACCATGAGTTGTTATACATTCAAACACAATTATATGATTGTTTCTGAATAAATGAACTATGAACATACAAGGAGAGTAACACTGAAAATGTTATATTATAGCTATAACTTTCGTACCCATATTTTTAAAGATAATTATAAATGTTATTTATTATTAATTTATCTATTATAAGTTTGTATTTAAAGGTATGTCAAAGCACAGGGTTTGCGTAGTTTGGGGTTAGGCAGCAGTGTGTGAGATGAGATATTATTATTATACTCTGGCTTCCTAATTTAAAAAGAAAATCATCCAAAAATGGAGAAACAGATAAAAAATCTGAAAGTCATATAACCTGTATTTTCCAGGCGAAAAGATACCTTGTGGCGGTGGATGCAAGAATTATAATTGCAAACGTTAACGAGACAAACGCAAGGGAACTGACACGTATACTTGACAAATACAAGTCAAGGTTCATAATACTCTTCCGTGTACTGCCATTTTGGGATTGGATTGATTATAAGGTAAGTATACGAGTCAGACTTCAACAATATCCTTTCTCTGCTTTGGCCGCCGATACAAGCTTACACCCAATTTTCCCGTTTTTTATTCCCGAAGTCTCTTATTGATAGAAGTAGGTTTGCCCCTATTATGGAAGGAAATGGTAAAATATGACAGTTTGTATGAAAATGTAGGTACATTGAATATGGATACCGATGAGACTTACAGAGTTGGAGAAAGATTGACACGTGTTGAGCATTTTCTTTTCCACAGCTATCTGAAAAATACGTAATCATAAAATCTAAAAGTAGCTAATGCTGGTGAGCGCATGAGGTGATCTCTGAAATTGCAGATTTTTTAAACTTTTTTTTACATTAAAAGACAACTCCTGCATTAGGAATACATTCCTGTGTCGCGGGGAACTTTACAGCATGGATGTCTGTAAAGTCCCCCGCGACACAAAGACAACACTCAAAGATGAGTTTAAAATGTAGCACCATAAGATGCAGTTTTAAAAGTTCTTCATTGATAAACTTCATTGGTATACCGTGTCTTCACGTAGGACCTGTACCTTCACCAGTACCAAAGGTGAGCCTCTAGTAATAGTATTACAACCATACGAATGCAAAGAAATTTAATCATCGTCATCACCTTTCTGCTCATCTCTTAATTCTATTTGTGGTCGGTGCAATATTTAACATTGAAAAGGTTTTGCCTCGTGTCTTATATGACCGGTCGCCTGCCTACGTATACGACGAGGAAGCTAGAGTAAGAGTCACCACAAGTCTGGGGCAAACGGAGCTCAAAATGTAGTTGCTCCAAGAAGTCAGAGTCACGTTGGTCGAAACTGTAAAGCCAGAACGATTTTTAATTTGTTGCTTTCATTTAGTTTCAGAACTGGATTTCCATAACTATGGGTCCTTCAGAAATCGATTACAAAACATGTCAAGTTGAGCGGGACCCCATCTGCATAGCAATCATGCTTAGTCTGGGTATCGTTGCTAATACTCATGCAGAGTACTCGCTTACCCCTGAAGATCTACATAGGACAACATTTTATAGGTAAAAATATAACTGTATTTACTCAAAATTCAATATTTTTAAGAAATATTTTTACTTGCAAAGTTCCGCTATCACCTGTTAAAAAAATATCTTAAAAGGTGATATTTTTTTCATTCCGAAACCGCTCATCCAATTCTAATGTATTTAGATATATAATTAAATATGACGGGCACTAATAATTGAACAGCTATAACTTGATATATAACTTCAGGAAATTCGCAAAAACCATGGCGACCAAGATACCTCCGGAGTCTGTGGCATACGTAAAACGCCGGAATGAAGAATTATCGAAACTGTACCTAACAAAAAATGGTGAAATCAGTAAGGAGGTGACGTACAGTGCTCCATTTAATGCAGAAGTTCTTGATCAAAAAGAATGTATAGCGAAAGTAAATAACTTCACAAGACCTTGCGACTATTCTGTGTACTTGTATTTAATGTTAGTAGTAATTATGTTCGCTATAACATTACTCACTATTACCTGTTATTTCCACGAGTCATCTCCGCTCATATCTAACTCATATCAGCAACTATAAACTGCTTGATAACTGATAAATTTATTTCTGGGAATCCATCGCTTCTGGTTAAAAACATTATTATATGAAACAGTACTTTAAATTATTCATAACAGAATGCATTGCAATGACTTTTATTAACAAAGAATTTTTATATACTATATTTAGCGCTGTCTTTAACTCCTTTAGGGACGGACGCCATTATTACGAGTATAGTGCCTAGTGTGACGATCGAGTTGATGTAAAATAATCTTTCACTAGACCCTCACCCACACCTAGACGCACTGCAATACCGGCATGCAATAGCAGCCCTAGTAGAAACTTAAAACCATTAATATAAAGGACTCGAAGGGCACTGAGGATTAATTTTATTTTTATTTATTTAGGTTTCAAGTCAAAATACCTATAAAGTAGTTCGTTTTTTTTTTTACAAAAAAATGATTTGGTTTAGTCTTAGTAATAAATAACTTGCTTCGTGAAGACTAGTAAATAATTACAGCAGAGTAAGAAATATTACTTACTACACTTAATTAGGAAACCTGTATCCTATTTAGTAATGTAATATTGTAGAAAATAGGAATATATTTTTGTAAGAAATTATTTTATACAAAGCGGCTGATGATTGTACTTGATCCACTTATTAGTTTTCAGACAGTTCAGTAAATATTCAATTAGTTATAAGTAAAAGTAATTGAACTTGTTTTATAAAGTATTACCCACGTTAACTGATGTGAAGTCAAATGATTCAAGTATGATGTTAAAAAATTATACACACTCATTTTTTGTTTGTTCACTTATGTAAATTTAAACGCGAATTTCGACTACTTTATACTAGCTGAGACCCGCGGTGTTACCCGTTTGTTGTTATAACCGCGGGCAACGCCGCGGGGCGAAGCTAGTCTAAAAAAAGTAGCCTAAGTTACTCCTTATGTCATCAGCTATCTGCCAGTGGAAGTCCCGTCGAAATCGGTCCAGCCGTTCCAGAGATTACCCGGAATAAACAGACAGACAGACAGACAAAAATTGTAAAAAATGTTATTTTGGCATATGTACCGTGTAAACTTACATGCATTTAGTAAAAAGCGGTTATTTTAATATTACAAACAGACAATCCAATTTTATTTATTTGTTGTATTGGAAATATATAAAAATACATCAAAGTAAGTTTCATATACTTCTTAAATACAAAGAACTTTTATACCGATGTAGATTTATTTAATACCGATTTATGCAGTAGAAACATTTATTATCATTACTACATACAAATACAATTCCTCCGTCACCTGGACGTCATCACCGGGAACGGGATGACGATGGTGCCGAAATGGCGATACACAGATTTACTGTAACCACCTCTCCCTTGTACTCCCGCATCCGAAATGCCATCACACCAGCTATATGCATGACGTAAAGCACACCGAAATAATTTCAAAATCACCAACACTCAACACATAATTTTTACTCGATTGGAAGTACCGCCGTTCTCGGTGAAGTCCCGGCTGCTGAGGACCAGCGTACTATTGATCTCAAACAACTGTCTAAAAAGTAAATGAAAAATATTAAACAAAGACATGTTTAAATTTCTTTATAAATGTAAACGTTACAATCTATAATGTTTTTGTTTAATTAAAATTTTTGTTTAGTCGACTTGTAAATAATGCTTACGTTTAATTATTTTTAATTGATTGGCATGACAAAGATGAAAATGTTTAATGCTTTTTGAGAATATATTTTTGTGGTAGAGGGGGCAGACGAGCAGACGTGTCACCTGATGGAAAGCGACCATCGCCGCCTATGACCGTCTGCAACTCAGGAGTCACAAACGCGTTGCCGGCCTTTTAGGAAGAAGTACGCCTTTTCTTGAAGGTCGTATCGGTCCGGAAATACCGCAATAACCCGTTCCACAGATTGGTTGTGCGGGATTGATTGATTGTTGATTGATTGATTTTTTAAAAGGTATTAATTATTCATTGTAGATAAACATTATTTGAACTATCATTTGTTTATAAATAAAAGTCAAAATCGTTTAACCGAGATTTTTAATTAATTCCTTGAGGTACTTGATGTCCTTTTTGTCGCTCAATGTATCATCATCATCGACGTCCGGTAGTGATGTAGTGCGGACCACTGAAATGGGTCCCGGCAAGTCAAAAATGAAACTTCGAACCTAAAATAGAAGAAAATTATTTATTTAATAATCCTTCATTTTTTTTAAAGACAACTCCCGCACTAGGAATTTACATCCTGTGTCGCAGGGGACTTTACAAACATACATGAAACGAACACCCAGAACGACCATTAGTGGATCACACAAAGTGTCGTCCCATTTGGGGATCGAGTCCACAACACTCAGCGTAGTAGGAAGCGGCGTGGTGACCGCTTAAACCACTACGCCATCCGTGCAGTCCTTTCCATTCATTTTCACCTTTTATTAAGCCATGATACTTCTTCATGGTTAATCAGAAATCACACAACAAGGTTAGATATTTCGGGGAATGACTGACTTGTTGACCGACGTCGGGTTTTCTCCCGAAATGCATAACTACAGCTGTATAACTCTAGCAAAAGTACGAATATCACGATTGTAATGGGGAAATGGTTAGGTCACCCTTCCGCTTCTAACCTACGGGGCCAAAGGTTCGTGTGTGCGTGCAAAAGTGTGCGTGCGTGCTAACGTCCATGCATATATGTATTTTATGTATAAAGCAAATAGGTTTCAAAACCAAAAGCTTATTGACTCTTTTGTTACCTTTTGATTGACAGATCTCAAGTTTTGCAGCAGTTTCAAGGCAGATCTCTTTTCAGTAGGATGCGATATTTGATACAATCGTATCGCTCTATGAAACTATAAAAGAAATAGATTAAAATAAAAAAACATCCAGTATTCTGTTTTAAACACTAAACAATATTTGAGAAGGCACTTGAAAAATATGATGATTGATTATAAATAGGTTTACAGAATACCAGTGTTGAGAAATTAATAGTAATTAATAGTTATAGTTTAAAAAGACAACTCCCGCATTAGGAATTTACATCCTGTGTCGCGGGGGACTTTACAAACATACATGAAACGGACACAAAGAACATCCAGACTCAGAACAACAATTTGTGGATCACACAAAGTGGTGTCCCATGTGGGGATCGAACCCACAACACTCAGCGCCATAGAAAGCGGCGTGGCGACCGCTTAAACCACTACGCCATTCGTGCAGTAAATTTTAACAAGGAACTATGTCGAGTAGTACCATTTGTTCTAAAATCTTTTGTGATAACCGACATACACGTGGGCGGAGCCACGGGGCAAAGCTAGTTCTCTATATTGCTAACTTACGCGCTCTAGTAGACACCAAGTATCTCTGTACTGCTGTAAGAAGACCAGAGGAGTGAGCACCGCCGCATAGAAGCCTGCCTCCCGGTCCAGCATGTCGTCACTATCAGACATGCCGTATATCGTGCCCCGGTACTTGTGTAGGAAGGCGGAATTCATGTGATCCTTGTCGAAACTGTGTAACAAACCAAGAAACCGGTAAGTACATTATTTTGGAATGGGGGGGACGAACAGACGGATCTTCTGAAATGATATTTATTTCTGCAAGTAAAATCTTCAGATATTTTTACAAGCTGGTCTTTACAACTAGAAGACGCCGGTATTTCCTAAGACTCACTCTGGGAAGAAACGCTGAAACAAACCGCAGAGGTTTCTTGCTGTCCATGAACACCTGTAACTGAAGGGACACAAATGCTTTGGCCTTTTGCGCGCCCCCCTCAAATCAGTGGATGGGTTGGGCTCCTATATCCTATTCTATAATATATTATTTTCTACCAGCTGCACTCTGCTACACATTGCGGTTGCATTGATGAGAAATGAGCACAAAACGACGCAAAAAATATATGGTGTCATTTGGGCTTAATAGTTGCAGCACTTTTTGAGTTTTTAAAGCGTACTTGAAACTACTCGTACTTAACATTTTTATACATAAACACTCGTATAGATGATTTTTTTCCGTTCAGATCCGTGTGGTGACTGATTAAGAATACAGAGTGTTAAAACCGCGAGGAGACTAAGGCAGCAAACTACGCAAGACAACAGCACTGCAAAGAGAAGGAAAACTTGACACAAACCCTATACTAACCCGTCTGGCCAGGCCAGCGTGGTGGCCTTTCTAAGGAGAGGCCCATGTCCAGCAGTGGACTATTAAAGTCTGTTGTAATGAACCTGATGATGATTTTCTTTAAATATTATACAAGGGTTATATTAGATGTACTTGTTAATATGGTTAAAAAGAATACGTCAACATAAATAAGGTAGTTAAATTCTGATTGCTTAAAACTCAACACAAAAATCATTCACATCATCACACTTCATATTTTGGGGGAATTCCCGCCTGTCAGTTTAGGTCTACCATTGGTGACGTAATGTAACCTTGACGCGTTAACCAAACGGACGCAACGTTATCTGGGAGTATATAAATCTATCGTTATCTACATGAAATATATTGGTAAGCGCGTCACATAACAATTGCTGGACGGATGTAGCAAAATTGATTTTAGTGTCATGGTACGGAGTAGGTTTTTAGACATTGAGAAGTGTGAAAAGATTACTGATCAACAGTTATAAACAATTAATGGCATTCTAAACAGGACCAAGTATGGTAAGCTCGTCTTAAGTTATATTAGAAATGTGGAAATTATATAAAACTAGCGATCCGCTCCGCTTCGCACGGGTGCAATGTAGATACTACTAATACTACCAATCTGGTGTCAGTGTGGAGTAATCGGTTTTACTATTATTATGATAAGACTATACTACAGGACCAGACTGTTGATAAATATACTTATATATTTCTTAATAAATACATAGATAAATTACACATACATAGATAATATGTCTGGGTGTACCCAGACACAGAACGAATGATCGTGTGCATCACACAATTTATTTATCCTGGGTGAGAATCGGACCCAAGACCTCTGACATAGCAATCAGCGTCACTAACCAATAACTGTAAACATTGCTTATTTATGATTTATATCTTAACTTCTGCGTAAGGTAGGTAGGTAAGATAGCTAGAAAAAAAACTGTTAAAATGAAGATGTTTTAAAGTTAAAATTGATCTGAAGTTAAAAAAATACTATTCATTCCCATTGCATATAAGTATGTAAATCTCTCCTATATGTAGTATATGTTATAGCACCCGCAGGAGTAACTTTGTTTACTTAGGGCCTAGATAGCCTGGTATATTCCAAGAACTCACTACGGCAGGATGGCATAAATTCTTCTAACTATGTCCTTGGCAGTCGGCCGGATTCCTGAACAGCGATCTATCTTATCTTGCTTCTGTCTAAATATCCATCGGTCTTCCGTTACGTCCTCTGTGTCCACTTCTTGGCATACCGCGGGCCACTAAAACAATAAAAGACCTTTTAAAATTTGAACATATTAAGTGCCTGTGACCTACGATGTCAGGACTCTAGAAGACGACAAGAAATTATGTCCAAGACAGATGAGCCTCAATGCTTTATAACAAAGTCAGTGCGTTCGTAGTCTAACAAAGTTTTGAAATAATTTCTGCTTATTTTCATCATACTCATAACTGCTCCCCAGTCATGGAAAAAAAAAACACGACTGTCGTACAGAAAAAGCTAGTAAGCTTCTTTCAATTCGAGCTTATTATGTTAATCTAAAATGATGATGATCTACTTTTGACAAGCCCTTTCGTTTTTTTTATGTTAGAGGGGTCAGACGATTGAATCGACTGATGGAAAGTGACTATCGCCGCCCGTGAACGTCTGCAACTCAGGAGTAAAAAAACGCGTTGCCGGCCTTTTAGGAAGGAGTACGCTCTTTCCTTAAAGGTTTGAAGGTCGTATCGGTCCGGAAATACCGCAGAAGATAACCCGTTTAGTGATTTATTAGTATAAAGAATACCTACCCTAAATAATAATAACTTAACATCTCACACGGCCGTTTGATAGACAGGGCCTGTACCATACAGGCCCTGTCTATCTATATGTCGTATAGTAACCAGACTGCTGATAAATAAACTTATTTAAAATTATAAATAAATTACATTCAGACAAAAAACAACTACAACTTGTCCTAGATGAAAATAGAATCAGAACCAACGACCTCTGCAAAGTCAGAGGTCGTTGGTTCTGATTTCTAACTACTAGAGCAAACAGGTCAGTTTGTCCAATTGATGTCATCTAATTGTAAAAACATAAACTTAAGCCTTAGGGTATTACACAAAGATACAAGCCCGCCATTTGCTTCTATCCCCAAACCTACAATCTTATACATTTATTGCTGCTCTTTCGTTTAAAATTTATACGTATAAAAGTATTCTTACCAAGATTCCAAGCCACATCAACATATGCCATACATTCCGTGCCATGTCCGACTACTTGTCTGATTCATGTTAGCAGATTTTCAACATCGCTAACAATTTACTATCACAAAGGAATATTATAAAACATACGATCTGAGATTACATGATATTTTGATGTCACTTGAATGTCTGCATGACAATTGCTTACTTCTATCAGAAGCAGACAAAACCTCATTTATTCAAATCTTTAACAGTATCGATGCAAAAAGGTAGAGTTACTTGAAGAACTAACATTATGAACTGGCTTTGCCCGCGGCTCCGCCCGCTTGTATCACGGTTATCGCAATAAAAAGTAGCCTATGTTACTTGCTGATAATGTAGCTTTACATTGGTAAAAGATTTTTTAAATCGGTTTAGTGGTTTAGGCGTGCAAGCGTAACAAACAAACTGACTTTCACATTCATATTCTAAGTATGGATTATACCAGCTATTTCTCGCAGCTTTGCTCACCTATTTATTATTCCTATTTCGTGTTTCTAACTTTGGAAATGTCCTACTTCCATAAAAGGGGAAATTTCCAAAAATTCTTTCTTAGCAGGCGCTTGCAAAATAAAAGCATCAGCTGCCGATTTCAAGTTTGTAGCCGCAGGGTTTAGGCTCTGCGTTGATGAGTTAGTTAGTCAGTCAGGGCAAGTAATTTTAAATGAATATATTGTTTAATAGATTCCAAACAAGATTTCAATAAAGTAGGTTTTTACTTTTTCTGGGTGGGAAATCTGCGTCTAGCGTTTAGTTGTCTATTACCTTCACAAACCTTTTTCAAAATTATCTACTTTGAGTGCTAAAATATACACTTTTAAATACCGTCAAAATTACAATAACTAGTTCGCTCCATAGCAAGCTAAGCGGCTGTTAGTGTCCATGTCACGGCACTCCACGTTAGTACATGTGGCACGCACTTATCAAAGATCCCCGTTTTGAGGCTCTTCGGCAAGAGCAATAAGAAAACTCAAAGTAGTTTGCCAAAATGCTGCCCAACCAAACTGAATCCTTCTGGTGGCTTCTTTCTCAAAGTTTTTTTTAGCGCTCAGGATAACGCACCTTTATTCATAAACTGAATTAACTTAGAATTTCAATATTGTGGGAAATCGCATTTAAAGTTTGACATTCATGTACGTGCGAGTTCGTCAAAAAGAGAACGACGATCTCTTATCTCTGCCATTTTCATGGTATCGAGTCGGCTGTTGGATTGTTCGTGTTCTACTGATGAAGTTGATTTGGTATTTGTTGAAAACTCGAAAAACGTAAATTTTGAATTAATTCAGTTTATTATTAAAGGTGCGATAAGATGGATGGATTATTCTTCAATAACTTCGAGCGTCGATTTTGATAGCAATCGGTCAGATTATGATAGAAACACCAATCAAAATCAAAGAAACGAAAAAAAAACAAATAAAAGTACCTTATAATCCGAATAAATGACAAACAAGAAACTCATATCCTTTTATGAATTTATCATGGCATAAGATATCGATTACACTCTGTGTTGTTTAGTTATTGCAACTGATAAATGGTTAATGGGAGATAGGTGCGAGTAGGACAGAGGACAATGAATAAATCTTGGCATTGAAACCATATATTATTATGCTTTTACGAAGGAATATTGTTATCGTACACTTAACAAATATTTGAATATTGAACAAACTCTCAGAATGTCATAATTTCAATTTACGATTTAACTCTTGTACTGTGATAATCTAACTTTTAAAACCACCTACAAAAAAAAAAATTCAAAGTGTAGTCAACCGTTTGCTATCTCACTAATAAATCACGCATCGAAATAATCAAGAATAATTGCTTCTAAGTACTAATTTGCTCTTTCTCTTCATGCTTGGAAGCTGATTTTATTTACATTTCCAATATGTTAATATACTACATTTCGATTCATTGGAAAGAAAGTGAATCACTTTGTTTAAAGAGAGAGAGATTGACCTTACAGCCCTAAAATACAATGATTTTCTGTTTTGCTGGATGATAGACTGATTTAAGGTTGTTTAGGAACTTTGATGATATACATTAAATAAAAATAGCCTAATTGTTGATATATATGAAATAAAACCACCTACAATCAGTTTTGTAATTAAGTTGAAACATTTAATTCATAAGAATAAACATTAGCTTTATTCTTTTGCTCCCGTTAGTACGAGTATATGTTTTGTGTCTATAGAATCAAGTCCTCTCATACTAAAAATTAGTTTCCTCTCCATCGGAGCCTTTTTCTAGGTATTAGGTATTTCTAGTTGTCATATGTCTCGTTTTATAATAATCGGTTCCGTACCGGTTAACGTATAACAAACATACATCTGTATTAAAATATTAGTTAGAATTAGGATATTTAAGGCCCAAAAAGTATGAAGACGCTCAGAAACAGCTACAGTAATAATGTATCGTTTTGGGTTTATATATGTATGTTACACATACACAGCGCAAAACTCGACAGATAAATCGTTTTTAAATCGAGTATACATCAGTCTAGACGTTAATTCTCTTTTGGAAACCAGTTAGATATGACGTGTGCTGCATTACAATACTGCGAAACACATTTTGCCACGCAATATCAAGTTTGGGTATGTTAGTGACTCAGACCCGAGACGATAACTCAAGTACAGTTATATTATGTGTTTCCGCGTACAAACAATCAATTTCAAGTTAATAGAATAAAGTGATGTATGCTCAAAATGGAAACAGTGCCAAGTGACGAGGATAAACTAATAATAAATGGAGAAATGTTTTATTCTATACGCACCTACATGCGTCAAAAAAAGACAAGTGCTGAAATTATCGAAAAGATTGAAGAGCTTCTGAAGCGCGGCGCTGACATCAACGCCTGTGACAAAAATGATAATAATAACAATATCCTACATATTGCTGTTCAAAAAGAAGAAGTGGATGTGGTAGTATATCTTTTACAAAAGGGTGAAAAATTATTTTCTATGGAAGATCAACAAAGAGCTTTGAAATTAGCTTTACAAAACAAAACAACTCTCGGGAAAGAAATTGCAGAAATTCTGTCTAAACAAGGAATTCTAGCAAGTTCTATTACAGGCAAAAGTATACAGCGAACAAAATCTGAAGAAAACTCTGGAAACGAAGCAGCTGAGAACCAAACATGTAATATAAAATATACGTACTTAAAGCGCGAAGGGACATCGGGCGTTAAAGGACAATTATACGAAACTAAATTATTAAGCCTGGTTCTACATCGCGCATTGCATGATAAACAAATTGAAGAATTTTATTTGGCAACGAACATTAAAGACATAGGAGGTTTTGACGACGTCTGCTTCAGGTATGATAATGTGACTTGTTTTATGCAATGTAAACACAGAGAAAATATAGGTAAAGAAAAACTTACTGTTTGCAGTATCAGAAGCAGTAAAGACAAGCTTTTTCTAGGCATATATTTCGATAGTTATTTAAAAATTAGACAACTATTTTCCTCAGATTCTAATGATCCCCTATTTAAGGGAAAATTTGATGAAATAAAGAGTCATTTTGTTATTTATACGTCTCTTAAACAAGATTTCACTAGAAAATTAGAGGGAAATAAACAAATATGTAGCAAGCTGCACGATATTATATTTACAGGTAAAAAAGCAGAAACTAAAACCAAAAGTGACATTTTTCAATTTGATTTTGAGGACTGCGATTTAGATCTTTTAACAGAGTTTATAAAATATAAAGATATAAAGACTTTAGGTAAAACATTCTTGAAATGTATTATACTAAATAATGTTAATGGAATGATGAGTAGTAAATTAGTTAAAAAATATTATCCTGCACTGATTAAAACAGTTATAAGTATTTCTAAAGAGAATACAATGTCTCTTAAAGGAAAAAATGACTCAAAAGAACTAAAATCTTCAAACTTTTCAAACAACAGTTATAAAGTTGTTGGTAAATTTCGAGATGATTTCTTTTCTTCCAAAAACGATTATTTAATAAAGCTAAAAGATGTATTTTGTACAGAAATAATATTCACCCATAGCTCGAAAACAAAATACACAAAGAATGAACTAAGGGAAAAAATACAAGATATAGCTAACAATACATGTGCTGCAACGATCGCTGATTTAATTGGTTCTCCTATAACATTTGATAATAAAAACTATCAACTTATTCTAGATATTACAAAACTACCAAAAAATATGTTTAAATCACATGAAATTGAAGACATAATGTCTGCTTTGCAAAATATACAAATCACAAAAGCAATGATTAAAGACGCTGTTTATTTAGCCGGTAAGAAAAAACTACAAACACTTACTTTTCAACTACCTAAATATTTTGATAACACTGATTTGAAAGTAAACAATAACAAAAGACTAGATAGATTAAATTTTCTGGCCGAGAAGTTTTATAACCTTATCAAACACTCTGCTCAAAAAAATAAAACGGAAGATATCAAAATTATTGATATTAACAACGACGTTGTAGGTCCCGGCAAGATCCTTGAGTATTCGCATTTAGATTTAACGGGTATTGGCGGGACAGTAGGCAATTTACTAGAATTTGATGAGGAGAGTAAACTGTTCACCTTCACTACGAAAAGTGAACTTCCAGAGAATGCAAAGTATGTTCGAGATAAAATTAAAGAATTGGTTGATAAAGATCTGAGCGAATATAAATTCAATGTGATGACAGATGGGTTTCCAAGAATATCATTTGACGTTTATCAATACAATAGGAACATTGCGCGTGAATTTTTAAGCAAACTTTGGTTTTACACTAATCAAGCCCAAGAAGAATCAGTTGAGGCTATTATTAAAAGTGAAATAAGTATGGAATATAATGCTGATATACAAAGTAAACGATTTCTTTTCCATGTGCATTCAGATGCCATTTTTCTCCGATTTCATGACAAAGTGCAAAAATGGTGGAAATCACCAACCGATGCATTATACTTAACCAAAAATACCACTTTTTATAAGGAAGCAAAAAAAGATATTGTGGACCGTCCTATTTTAACAGTGCTAACCCTTATGTTCATGAGAAATATTAAGGCATTCAGTATTGAATTTAATAAGAATGCAATAAATAATTTAAAGTTAAATGAATTTATGATAAAAAATAAAAGCGAAGCTCATAACATTGCCAGCGACGCTGTATTATTGACTGCAGCTAAAATAATGCAGTGTGAACAATATCAAAAGCACTGTTCATTTATTCATTTAGATTACATTCATATTCTTCCACAAAACGATTATGAAACGATGATAGAGGAACTTGAATTATTAAAAGATGCTACTATCGTTATCATTAGTGAGGCTCCCATAAAAGAAGTAATGCAAGATAACTTTGTAAACATTCTCAATGCTCTTACTAAGCGTTACATAACTTTAGAAAACCATATAATTGTTATTACAGGTGAAATATTACAAATGAAATTGGCGAATTATGATTTCATTTCTATAAAAGACAATAATGTAAATTTAACTGATTTGACAAATCAGTCACAGACATTTATTCTCAACACATATGAAGTAATTTACCAAGGTCTGAGAACAAAATTAAATAAGATCATTGATGATACTGCAAAAGCCTATATAACTACGAAACTCCTGTTATCTTTACTAAAGAAAGAGGAAATTCATATTGGTCATAAAATTGAAAACCACAATTATAATAAAATCAAAAGTTGTTATATCGATCGAAGCTTAGAGCGCAACGGTGAAGAACATGTAATAAATACGCTATATGACATCCACGATAAAACTGTATTGATTTCATCAAAGCCGGGTATGGGCAAAACACTTCTTTTGACGCATTTATCGTTAAAAACAAAACATGTAGACCGTAGGCTCTGGATCGTGGTGATCGATATGGCTTCTTGCGTTAAAGATCTTGAAAAACTACAAAATATAACCTTGGGAAATGTAATGACTTTCTTATCTAAGGTAGCACTTAAAAACCTAAATGAAACAGAAAAAGTAACGTTTGTTAAAATAAATACAGAAGCAGTTGCCATTAACAGTGAAGAGATAGAAAATGTCTCATTTGAATTAAAACTTTTTATCCATTTCTATAATCAAGGTCATGTTATCTTTCTATTCGATGGTTTTGATAAAATTTACCCGCGATATATAAACGAAACTATTGCATTGTTTGCAACGCTTAGAGAAGCGAACAAACGCGTTTGGATAACAAGCGACTGCTACGCTATTAAGAATCTTACAGAAATTTTCGGTTCACCGTACGAACTCGAGCCACTCACATATACGGAAGAAAAAGGTTTACTTGATAGATTTTGGACTGTTAATGTAAAGCTCGAAAAATTAAATCACGAGCAGTATAACAATATAAGAATATACTTAGATTACGTACTAAATTTCTTTAATCTTAAGCTGGTCGTTGAAGATGTTAGTGACCGCCATAAGTTCGCTTTTTTAAGTAATGCACTTCATATAGTTTATTTAAAGTTAGTCGATTTCTTTAAGGATGAAGTACACAGCCTGTCATGGATTTATATTCGTGAAAAAATTAAGAAGAAATGGCATATCCATTCTTATACAGTCATCGATCGATACCTTCAAAATGTCAACAAAAAAGACTCCTTACAGTTGAAGGGAATTCCTTTCATTAAATACGTGGATGAGAATTACTTTATATTAAAAAAAGGTGATAAATTAGAAATACAACTTAATCATAATGTGATACTTGACAGATCAAATGCTTATATGAACGCCTTAAAATTATACAAATATTTTCTTATAACGAATATAAAAGAAGTTTGCAATACTGAAACTGAAATAAAGCCCGATTCAAGCTTGCTGCGTGATAACTTTTTTAATGATCATAACAAATTCCTTCTCTATGCAATATATAAGGAGATTGACGTATTGAAAATTCTTAGTACATCTGATATAAATGAAATAGGTAACACGATTAATATGATAGAATCCGGTGAAATCAGAGCCGACCCCATTGATACTATCGTTGGTACAAAGCTTAGAGTGCATTTAATATTTGCAGAATATTTTTTTCTTGAAACTTTATCTGATTTATTGCCACACTTAAATGGAAATTTCAGTGATTTCAAACTCGATTCCATTTGTGATTTAATAGTAAATGTAATACTGGTCATCAGCCCGCCAGATCTGAGGAATGCTTTTAAATATAGACTAAAATATGAACCTAACCCATCAGGCATTACAGCTATTGACAATTGCAATAGGATTACATTTGAATTAGTTTTAAAAGACAACAAACACAATTGTGCTTTAGAGGTTGATGACACTCTGAATACAGCAATTAATGAAGGCTTAATAAACGCTATAAATTACTTATTAAACAGTGTTCGTCAAAATTTTAGCGAAGATGCAATTGAACTGGTGATGAGGATCTTAGAAAAAGTTGTAGGTATTTTAGAGGAACTGGGGCCTACTTGGTCAGTTTTAAGTGAGCTTGTTTTTGGAGGCATTGAGGACTTAGATGGTGAAACTATAGTAGACATTTTAAATTTATTTCAGGTAGGGAATCAAATGACGGACAAAATTAAAGAGGTAATCATAGAACCAGTTAGAATGATCAAAAAGAAAATCGTTGAGATCAGTAAGAATAATAAAAACTTAATCAAATTGGTAGATGAGTTGCCACATCACCTACCGGAGTTGATTCGCGCACTATATGATATAATTAGTGAGATAGATATTTCTTAAAACCGTGAAAATGTTATCATTAATAGAATTGAAATAGTAAGTAATTTTAGAATTAAGTTCTTAATTTGCGATTTAAATACGAAAAAAGATTTTATACCATACTTTCAGTAGCAAATAAGGACCATATTTTGTAACAATTTTCGACTTGTTCGGTGGTGCGTATGTGTAGCGTATGCGACTGCTGTGCTGAGGTCTCGAGTTCGATTCCCGGGTTGGACCAAATGTTTGTATGATCTGCAACTATTTGTTTTGAAGTCTGGGTGTTTTCTATGTATGTATTTACGAAAAAAAGTATCTATCAGTCTGTCTAGCTTTTTTAGTACAAGCTCTGCTTAATTTGAAACTAGATGGCTTTGTGTGTCAGATGTCCGAAATATTAGTATTGTATTATTATTTCTAATTTGAACGTTGTTTTGATTGAAACTAAGACGAACTAAATACTTCTTTTAATTAATAAAAGAGATCAAAAATTATAAGAAATTAAGAAAAAAAATAAAAATCACAACAATGAGTATGTACTTATGTATTTTTTGAGATGACAATGGCAAAAAATGTGTTTAAAAATCTAAGGCTATATTATTATTAGCGTGATCAAAACGATCATTTGTTCTGGTCTAATTTATCTATAATATGTATGTATGTTTATCAGCAGTCTGGTTACCATGGCACAGGTTCTGCCTAATTTGGGATGAAACTGCCATGTGTGAGATTGTTATTATATTAACTTGTCATTGCCACACATTAGCTTTTATATGTATGTACCATGCTTCGCTGTGGCACATTGTGGCTGTATTGATGAGAAATGAGGAACAAAACTTACGTTAGAATCATCTTTGAAGAGGCTTTGTATCTCGTGTCAAAATTCAATTGGTGCAGACTCAGACAGACAGACAGAGAGAACTCAACTGTTTGAATTTGTAAAACGTAAACAAACCAACTTAACATTTTTAAATATCTACTAGCTTCGCTTCGATTCCCGGACCGGGTAAAATTTTATGGGATTTGTCTGAGAGGAAAAATAGCCTAAGTTACTCCCTATATAGACAGCCACCTGTTAGTACAAATATATCAAAATCGGTCCAGCCGTTTAGAAGATCTGTTGTTTAGGCATAGGTATCGTGCAAAGAACCGTGTGAGCATGAAAAAAAACCTATTATTTTGACATTACAACTTCAATTTTATTTATTTGTATAGATATACTAACTTACACGTGCAGTTCAGGAATGCTGGCTAGTTTTGGCTCCGACGGGCACCCTGTTTCAAGGAATGAAGTGTCAGCGAGTAGGTATGCAAAATTTCAACAATATCAGTTCAGTACTTAAGACTTGAAAATGTAACAAATAAACGAATATACCTACATATATGCATAATATTAGTCAGTAAAACAGTACACAGTACAGTCAGTATACAACTTATATGTTTATGGTTAGTGAATTATGTCATTAGTAAATTATTAATTTGTCATTTAAAATAACATTTGTAAATTATGATAATGTTATAAAATTACATGGTTTAGTATCCTTGTTGTTGTGAATAGTTTAAGTAATATAATATAAGTTAGTTATTAATATTTTGTTTACTAAAAGTTTTGCTGAAGATGTTTTAAGTTCATTAAATGTGTTTGCGATTATAAACATCAACGCTTACTTTTTCTTTTTCTGTCCTTATTTTCTTGCGTTAAACAAACCAGGCTTATCTAAATGAGTTTGTATTTATTAAAATGAGGTTTTTTTTAAAATCGTTATTTACTGAGCTTAGTAACAATTTTGTTTTAAACTAAACTTAAATATTCAAAATACAGAGTATACTTTGTATTAAGGCTATTTATAAACAGCCTTAGCTATATCTGTCAAAGGACTGACCAGGATTCTGTTACATCTTCCAATGTCCATCAACTTATCACTAAGCAAGCGTTCTCTAAGTTGTTTGTGCCGAACACATTCCATCAAAACATGTTCTGAGGATTAATTCATATTAAATTATGTTTTCAAAATAACAGTATTAAAGTTTATATGCCACCTGTTTCAAAACAAGCAAACAAAAGACAGACATATCACAGTTAAGTGATTAGCGCCGCCTGTAGTCAGCCTACAAGTCAAGTTTAGTTGTAATTTGTAGCCGCGGTGGTGCAATAGTTAGAGCATGCAACTGCTGTGCTGAGGTCACGTGTTCGATAACCGGGTCGGACCAAATGTTTATATATAATCTGCAAATACTTGTTTCGGAGTTGGATGTTTTCTATGTAAGAGTATAATATGTATGTATTTACAGAAAGAAAGTATATAAGTGTTCTATCTGTCAATCCAGCTTTCAAAGTACAAGTTAGTTTGAAACGAGAGGGCGTTGTGTGTTAGATGTCCAAAATATTTATTTTTACTTAAAAGCTTGATTAACTAAACCAACGTTTTCAAATAAAAGGGTTTAAAAAATTAGGCATAAGGATTCTACCTCACTTTGTAATCAGCTCAGTCGACTTTGCGAACTGACCGAGATATTAAATTTCATTTAAAAATAATAATATATTGCAGCTTAAAACATTTATTAAATAATAAACATAACAGACAAAAGCAATATTCGGTGTGAATAGAGAATGGGTGCCGAGAACGAAGTGAGTAAAACTATTCTGTCGGTGTCGACTATATCTGGTAAAGTCTCTGGTTCGGTCCTAATTTGACGCTGAATCTCCGTGTGGTATGTGACCGTCGTTGTTGTGGCCGACTGAACCAGTAACACTTGGGCAGTTCGCTGAAAAAGGGCATTATGTTCACTTTTTAACCGAATTAAAAAAAGGAGACTCAGTTTGATTTTTTTGTAATTATTTTTGTTACCTCAGAGCTCCGTAGCTATTTTTAAAAGCTCATTTTTGTATTACTAAGCACAGTATGGGGAATAATAATTTAATCGTTATTTCCTGTCTGGTACATGCATCAGGGTGATAACGACTCTAATGCGTGCAGAAGCCTAATTATCTCCGAGAACCGTATTTTCATTTCATTACTAATTTAATATAAATAGGTTGGTAATCAATTTGTATTAGGCAAATTTAAAGCTGGGGTCAATTACATAATATAGCAAGTAATTAGAATTCCAATAGTAATGATTGCTTCAGCTATACTAACAACTAGCTGAGACCCGCGGTGTTACCCGCGTTTGTTGTTATAACCGCGGGCAACGCTGCGGGGCGAAGCTAGTATAAAAAAGGTAGCCTAAGTTACTCTTTATGTCATCAGCTATCTGCCAGTGAAAGTCCCGTCGAAATCGGTCCAGCCGTTCCAGAGATTACCCGGAACAAACAGACAGACAGACAGACAGACAAAAATTAAAAAAAAAAGTTATTTTGGCATATGTGCCGTGTAAACATACGTATGCATTTAGTAAAAAGCGGTTATTTTAATATTACAAACAGACGCTCCAATTTCATTTATTTGTATAGAAGATAAATACACTAACCACATTAGGGGTCCTGGGTGGGTAGGTAGCCCTCCTGGGTACGCCGTAGTGTTTACCCCGCGCCACCTGATCATTGCAAAACAGTCCTACATTAAAAATTTAACAGAAAATGGAGATCTTGCTATGAACTGACATAGCGTAGCGCAAAATGTAAAATGATTGAGAAGGAAAAAAAGTCTAAATCTCGAAGTTTGAATTCACCACCTAGATGCGTTTTTTATGCGATATCTATTATATTATCTATTATCCTTTCTAAGAAGAGGCCTATGTCCAGCAGTGGACTATTAAAGGCTGTTGATGATGATCTATTAATGTGAATATGTCGTTTTTACATCATACATATATCATCAGAATCGATTTATGTCTAGAAGCATCAGCATTAACGGAGGTTCTTAATATTTCAAGACTAGAAAAACGAAAGGAACCAGCCAAAATCCTTTTGCAACATATTGTTGATGATAATTAAATACATAATATTTTAAACATGTACTTAGACTACATAACAGATTTTGCTTGCTAGGGTTAGTATGATTTTCATGAATTCAGGTACTCCCCAGGCTCGATACTGTTTTACAGATTCCCAGGGGTGCTGAGTTTCATGATTTGAATAGTTAAGGTATGCAACGTAACTAATTCAGTTTTGTAACGATAGAAAATACGGTATCTAGCTAGTATATTATATTTTAGTATAGTATAGTATTTTGACTGCACAGATGGCGTACTGTTTTTAGCGGTCACCTTGCCAAATTATTGTTATGAGTCTGGGTGTTCTTTGTGTCTGTTTCATGTATGTCCCCCAGATACACAGGATATATTCCTATTGCAGGAGTTGTCTTTAAAACAGAAAAAGAAAAAAAAATCCATAAGCGCATTCTAACTTAACCAGGTAGAAGTCAGTAAAAAAATCGCCGCGCCAAAAACGCTTTTAAATAGTAAGAATATACAGTCAGAGACAGGCACTCCTTCTACATAATACAAGAATTGCGAGAAGCATGATAATAGTTCATTCTATTCTTAATCACTCTTCAGTTCATTCAATTTTTTTTACTCCTAACTTGTACTAACTGAGAATGCTTTTATTGAACGTAACAAATACCGGTTTGGTTGGTGTACTTTTCTTCTCATACATGTTGAGAGGTGTGACGTGTTGAATAAACTCTTCCATAATGAAGCGAGCCCTCGCTATGATGGGTTCCAAAGCTCTCATGTTCTTTGCTATATCCATAGACTTTGTTGCAGAGAGATACTGGTTCACCTTATGAAAAACCAGTTTTAATTTGATTATTTCATAAAATAAGCTTTCTATCGTCGAATTTAGATCTTACTAAAGTTTACGTACAAACGCAAGGCATATTGGTCTGTAATTTGAAAAGTAATTTTGTCATTTGAAATGAAATGTTCAAATGGCCAAATGATAACTAAGGTGGATGTGCACAGACATTGTTCATTACAGCTCCTTGAGCACGGGCATAAATATGAAATATTGATTCAATTCGCTTTATGGCCATCATCCTATTCGTTGAAAATTAAGAGATTTTAAAATTTCACAGCAACCATTTCAGAAATTAGCAATTCCATTGAAGTACGATAAAAAAGTTACCTTTTGTAAAGGACACCATCCAAATTTCTTTGTGGTGACAGGATCAGTGACAGTCATCCAAGTCATTGCCAGAACCCTAGGGAATGTGGTGTGCGGCTCTCCCATCATTACTCCTGGCGTCTTAACTAAAGCATCTAGGTCAGGCTCCGCGTCCAGCATAGAGGTTTCTACCAACAACTTTGCACGGACTAAAGCTCCTATCATATCGGTCATGACTGGGCTCTCATCACCTTCTAGATTCCTGTATGAAAAGAAACGTGACTTAGATAAGACAGTTCTGTGACATGAGTTTTCTGTTTGACATTGAAAATCAAAAATTCATGCCTACCGTGGACATGCAAGGCACACTGCTGGTATTAAAAATTTGTAAAAATGTAGCAAGTCGAAATACCGTAACGCAGAAAGGTCGAGTGTTGCCTGAAATCAAAAAATGTAGCCCAAACGTCTACTCGAAGCCAAGACAAAAAGATTTGTCGAAAAAGACTATAAATTCGAAGATTTTAAGAATATTTTCTGCCCTTAATTAGGAATAGAGCGCTCAGTACCAAAAGGAGAGAGTTAGAGCAAACCTACACCAAGGTGATAAAAGGCTGAAAAAGAAGTGTGAAATATGTTGTACTGTTCATCAAAACGTTGTACTACCCTAAATTCTATTTGGGGTCAGATTCTATTCAGATAGTTTTAATAAAAGAAATCTAAGGAATACGAAAATTAAAATTGTATATGTACTTAAGCAGTTCCAACATTAGTCTGGCGATTTTTCCAGAAGCAGGCCTAGCGTAATCAATACAGTCTGTGCTGATGATTCTGGTCGGTGAAGGCACCTCCGTCTCGAAAGCCGCGGCTAGCTCCCTCTGCCTCATGTCCTCGGCCGCCAGCCAGTCCAGGGTCAGCGCTGATCTGTAGGCTTGTATCCCGGACAACGTCGATCGTGTAATATTGCTTGGTCGATAGTAGTAATCATCTTCTGCTTCACACTAAAATATAAATAATAGTACTTACATATAATAATAATAATAGTACTATTGTTCCTGTAGATACAACGAGCCCCCTTTATAAGACAATAGACTTTTGACACCTAACTAGAGTTAGACCACAATACCCCAGAACCCACGCCAGCCCGTGGCATCCTCGCAATGAGAGATAATCTATCAAATCTTTTTTATAAAAAATAAACGACTAATTGAGAGCTTCCTCCTCTTTTTAAGTCGGTTAATAAATTGTCTCATATTCCTAAAATGCTTTTATTTTCTGCTATAATTTATATTGACCTACATAATGTAGTAGATACATACAACAAATTTAAATAAATAATTAAAATATAGATAAGCCAAACAGTCAAAGTAAAACCTCAGAAAGGCTTTGTGAGAAGAAAGAATTTAATTATCACCAACTTTTTCAATTCCCCTTTTTTATGAAAGTTGAATGACGGTTTAAATTAGTTTTAAAATATTAATTGAAAAGTGAAGCAATTGTAAGAATTTAAGTTTACATTTTCTTTGAAAAAATTTGTATATAAGCGTGCAATTGATACCGCTTCTAAATTTGATTCGTTGTTAATCATAAATGTTAATTTAAAAAGTATAATTTCAGTAAAATAGAAAAAAGAGCCGCTTCTAAGTTTATATCCAGCAGTGGACAATCTCTGACCAAATGATCATTACGTTAAGAAATCTGCCATTGATTTGTTATTAGACTGAAAAATTACTACCGCGATGGACGTTAACACTAATGAGTCCTTTGTAGCTGAAGAGAAAACCCCAAATGTTTAATAACATTTCGCGCTAAAACTTGAACAGTGCTACTAAAGCCTTCAAAAGACAAAGTAACTTAAATAATAGGTCTTTCCCTATGAAATTGCCGTAAAAATCAGCTGGACGGGAGGCAACAAACTCTTCAAAGGCATTTTGTACTGCCTCTCGGGAATTGAATTTTTTACCCACTAAAAAGTTGTCTACTGTGTGTACTGTGAAGAACTGGAGAGAATGATGGAGAAGCTTGCACATCTGCAACCAGCTTTGGTCAATCGGTCGTCAGCACTGCTCCTTCACAACGCGCGACCGCATACTGCGCAACAGACAGTCTCCAAGCTGCAAGAACTGGGGTTTGGAAGCTCTCGAAAACGGCAATTTCATAGGTAAAGACCTATTATCAACTGCACGGATGGCGTAGTGCTTTAAGCGGTTGCCACGCCGCTCACTATTACGCTGTGTGTTGTAGGTTCGATCCCCACATGGGACGACACTTTGTGTGATCCACAAATTATTGTTCTGAGTCTGGGTGTTCTTTGTATTCGTTTGTATGTATGTTTGTAAAGTCCCCCGCGACACAGGATATATTCCTAATGCGGGAGTTGTCATTTTTAATTAAATTTAATTTATATTCGTATTCGCTCAGTACATAACTTACATGTTTTTATCCAACTAAGCTTGCAAACTGTCGAACAACAAGGTTACCAGTGTTTATAAACACGCAAAACTAGTCATGTCATGTCATTTGGCAACACTATTCACACACTTAAAGAATTTTTGTTTTCTAACCAGTAGTTCCTAAAATTAGCGCGTTCAACCAAACAAAAAAGCTTTTCAGCTTCATAACATTGGCAGTGATACCAATTGAAATACCAAAATTGTCTCTAGTACGACTCTGTAGTACGTTATGGTGCTCACATTAGGTACTAACAGTTTAATTTCTCGCTACATAAACCCGTCGCATGACTCAATTCCGGATCGTCTTTCCTACCACTATATCATGTAGCTAAGTTAATGAGGCTGAAGGGTCTTAGAGAATATTCTCCAAGTATCTTTTGGCAACTTTTAAACATATACCGTTTAACGTTTGAATGGATGTTTGACTATGATGAATGCAAGTTTCTTGGAGTTAATTAATAATGCGAGGACGGTGAACGCATCTGTATGAAATTTGGCAGAGACAGATAGAAATAACTCATAGACTACTTCGGCCCTTTTTTTAATTGGTAGGTTATAAAATCCTATCGGATATCCGGCTCACACCGCACCTACACAGGAGCCAGGAGTATGTGGGCGAAAATTGACATTGCCACCAGCGAAGTTGCGGCCTTCGGGCAAGTAATAATACTACTTAAAATATAATAATACTTAAAATTATAATGAATCACAAAATTAGTACTGGTAGACTGTTCGAAAAACTATACTAATATTATAAATCTAAAGGATTTGTTTGTATGGTTGAACACCCTAATCTCAGGAACTACTGAGTCGAATTGAAAAAATATTTTACTGTTTGATAGCCACTTTATCGAGATAGGCTATATAACATAACGCTACGAACAATAGGAGCCGAGCATACAGGGAAAATTAAGTCACATGAAGTCACACGGATTCAGCTAGTTACTTATAAAAAGAAAAACACGATTTAGGTAACCTCAGCTGTGTTCTAGTGATAAAAATGACACGTATATATGTAAGGCATTAAAAATGTGAGTGTTTTATGATGACAATAAACCCGATTCGATGGGAGCCCATTAAAATCATTTTTCGTACGTAAACTTCACCCGTAAACCCTTTATGGCGTTCCACACCTGCGTTTAGTGGTAGAGATTTGTTTTACAAACATGGAAGCCACAGTTTTGTTGCGTATGAACATTTTATTGGCAATCAAATTGACACACAAAGGTGGCTTTCTGTTCGGAGTAAAAAGGTATAGTGATCACCAAAATATATGAAAATGAATAGCCAAATATATTGCAAAACTAGAGAACAGCTCGACCAATTCGGCCAACTTTTTTTCAAATTTTCGTTAAGGCGCGAGGAAGTTTCATACGAAGAAAAGTAATAAAAAATTGCGAGGAAATATTAAAAACATTATTTTCTTTTCCCATACAAGCCACAGAGTAAATTAAAACACCTGTCCCCTAGCTTTCAAACATCTGGCGTCAATCAAAACAAAGGCGCATAAGGAGTTTTTTGGTATGCCTTCAAGCTCATTAGGCTGTATGATATTCATCTATGCTTGCTCAAAATAAAGTTTGAAGAAAATTGATCACTGAAATGGGTTTTTTTTCTATTAGACTGCGACAGGCCAATAACTTTTGAAACCTGAGCAGCGAGCTTTTAATAAAATATATTTCTTGATGAGAATTCACTTAATTCGGAACAATTCAATTACTGAATTGGGGACGCATAATTAGCTTTAATGAGGCGAGGCGTCGATCTAGCAATTAATTTGTCGCAGGTTCATTGCATATGTATTAGTGTTGAATCTACGAATAACACAGACATATAGCTTGAGATCGAGATGAATATTACTAGTGTGTAACCAATATTACCTCCAAAAACAATACATTGACATTTTTTCCATAAAATGTCACTGCTATTAAGAATACGGAGTATCACCACCCTTATTCATCCCGTGGGTGTCGTAGGAGACTACTACTACGCAGGACAACCGCACTGCGAAGGGACGGAAAGCTTGACCAGCCCTATACCAACACGTCTGACTAGGGTGGAATAGAAGGCCAAAACCTCCTTTCTCAGAAGAGGCAGTTGACCTTTAAAGGCTATTGATGATGATGATGAAGTGATTATCTTGTTAAATTAAAAAACAAATAATCTAACAGCTTTTTGCTGTAAAGAATTGCGTTGCAACTTGCCGGACTTCGGTTTTTGCTGCCTTTTTGATGAGATTTGTTTGACATGCAGATAATAATATTATTTATAACTAGCTGACCCGCGCAACTTCGTCTGCGTCTCTCAATAGTAATAAATTTTCTCCGTTTTTGAAACATTCTTCATTGGTGCTCCGCTCCTATTGGTCTTAGCGTGATGATATATAGCCTTCCTCGATAAATGGGCTATCTAACACTGAAAGAATTTTTCAAATCGGACCAGTAGTTCCTGAGATTAGCGCGTTCAAACAAACAAACAAACAAACTCTTCAGCTTTATAATATTAGTATAGATTACTCTTAAAGAGTTACAGAACAGTTATTATTCTGTTTTGTAAATTAATACCTACAAAGGGATGTTCAATATGTTGAAATTAGAAAGAACTAGAACAGGAACCATATAATGTAACTTCTTCTGAGATTTAAGGCTGTAAATGTTTTATAAATCTATTTTAACTTGAATAACAGTTCAACATAATATGTGTATGCACCACAGAACAATGTTTATACACTGTTCTGTGCCAATGCACCAATGCAACGTTTACAAATTGTGCATACCACAATTTGTAAACGTTGCATTGGTGAAAAAACAAAGTAGATGAATGACATGAGGGAATACTTACGAAGATTTTTCTAAAAACGGACGCACAGTTTTGTATGCCTTCCATAAAGCAAGGTGATTAGTACGTAGAAATAAATTTTCAACTAAAAGTATTAAATAACTAAACTAACGTAACTATGTAACATGACAGAAAAAGATTCAATTAAAGTCATAAATTACATACCATTGCCCATAAAAGCACGACTGGTGTCAATAAAGAGATCATTTCGATTACATCTCACGGCAATTTATCACATGTTACGAACGAAAAATTGTGATTCGACCAGACATTCTGTATCATAAATATATGAAACTGTCAAAATTGTTGTCTACTAATGCTTAGACTCTGTCAAAAATAGCCATTGAGAAAATAACTCTTATTAAGAAACTCTCACTTTAGCGTGACTAAATACAAAAAGATTTTTTTCATTTTGTCATAGAGAATTGGCCAACAAGTAATGCTGATCGACTATTCTCGTCTGTCTGTACTACTTTTATCGAAGGTAATAGGAGGTTACATATAAGAAGTCGTAATGACGAGCCTGGACCACTTCGTACTTTGTGTATGAAGCTTCAAGTACATCACATCAACAGCCTTTAATAGACCACTGCTGAACATAGGCCTCTCCTTAGAAAGGCATATGTTCAGCAGTAAAGTACTCCTACTATACCACGCTGGCCAGACGGGTTGGTATAGGGCTTGTGTCAAGTTTTCCTTCTCTCGGCAGTGCTGTTGTTCTGCGTAGTTTTCTCCCTTAGTCGGCTCTTACGACACCTACGGGGATGAATAGGGGTGGTGACTCTCTGTATTCTTAATCCGTCACCACACGGACCCAAGTACAAGTACATGGTGGGCTCGAATTTTATAACCAAAAGAATTAGCCTAGACTAATCGCCCTTTTTTTTTTTTTTTAAGTGTGGAAATCCCCTCGGACCGTCACCCCACCGGGGTTTGCGGCGGGGTGGTGTGTCGGACTCGGACCGCCTAAAACCACACGGTGTGCCACTCTGAGCCTGTAATAGGAGGGATCCGGGAACAGCTGTTATTAAGACATCCGGACCCCTCCTAGCGCCGGCCCGCTCCTGTTGCGGGCTCCGTCTCAAAATATTTTCCTCTCTTTAGGCAACGTCGTGCACATGCGGACGCCGCCCCCTCGCGGCTGGCCAAACTAATGCGGGTGGAGGGGAAACCCACCCCGTCCACCCGCGGCCACACTCAGGGCGGCATGAGGCGGTGATAGGCGCGCCTCCGCCGCCCGGTTCGCCGGCGGCGGATCGGGTCCGAGTGGAGGTCGTCCTCCCGGGCCTTCTCCGCCGCCTCCTTCTGCGAGATTACTTCCTCGCAGAAGGTTGCGACCGCGGTAAAACAACTGTCGCTACCGGCCATGGAGCGTACTACGGCCGGTAGCGAGAGATCCACTCCGATGACTGCAGTGAGGGCCCGGCGCTGCGTCGTCCATGCGGGGCAGACCGCCAGCGTGTGCTGGGCCGAGTCCTCACTGCAGTCGCAGTGGTGGCAGGCGGGACTCAGTTCCCTCCTAGCGACCGAGTGCAGGTACTTTCCGAAGCAACCGTGCCCGGAAAGCACCTGCGTCAGCCGGAAGGTAAGGGTCCCGTGCTGCCGCCCTGCCCACGAGGCGACGACCGGCTGGAGAGCCTCCACCGCTCTCCGACCGGGAGTCAGCCAGTCGCCGATAAACTTCGTCGAGCACTTCCGCCTCCAAATCCCACGGGGGAGTTCCGGCCAACGCGCAAGCCACCCCCGTCGAAACGGTGCGGTAACCGCGTATGGCTCTGACCGCCAATACCCTCTGAGGGCGCCAGAGGCGTACCCTATTCTGGGCGGTCAGAGCCGCCGCCCACACCGGTGCACCGTACAGTGCCATTGACCGGACAACCCCCGTGTACAGCCGTCTTGTCGCGACGCTGGGTCCACCCATATTGGGCAAAAGTCGCCCTAGGGCAGACGCAGCGCCGACCAGCTTTGGAGCAAGCTGTCGGAAGTGCTCGTCGAAGAGCCACCTCCCGTCGAGGATCAGGCCCAGATATTTCATCTGGGCCCGAACCGGTACGAGGACCGAGTTGACCACGATTGAGGCGCCAGGGGGTGGACCACGACGGGGCCCATGAAATAACAGGGCCTCCGTCTTATCTAGGGCCACCCGTAAGCCCAGCGCCTCAATGCGCCCGACCACCAGGGAGACTCCCCCTGTGGCCAGGCGCGCCGCCTCTTGGAAGTTTGCCCCCCGGGCTGTCACCAGGGTATCGTCTGCGTAACAGATTACACCCAGCCCGGGGGGGAAATCGGCGCGAAGGGCCCAGTCGTACCCTATGTTCCACAAGAGGGGTCCAAGAACAGACCCCTGTGGAACACTGCACGACATGGGCCGACTCCTCAAATTACCTTCTCGGTCCTCGAACACGACGGTACGCTCCTCTTAATAGTCTGCCACTAGCCGCCTCAGGTACTTTGGCACCCCATGATAGTGGAGTGCTTCCCTGATGCAGCTGAATGGCAGACTATTGAATGCGTTGGCGATGTCTAATGACACCGCCAACAGCACGCCGCCACAGCTCACGGCCTCTTTGGTCACGGCCCTCACGTAGACTAATCGCCCTTTTTTTTTTTTTTTTTACGTGTGGAAATCCCCTCGGACCGTCACCCCGCCGGGGCTCTCGTTCGGCGGGGCGGTGTGTCGGACTCGAACCGACTAAAACCACACGGTGTGCCCTCTTTGCGCTTCCAGTTTAGGAGGGGTCCAGGTAGCTATCTCCTTCTGGACCCCTCCCAGCGCCGGCCCGCTCCTGGTGCGGGCTCCGTCTCTGATCTTTCCTCTCTTTAGGCGACGTCCGGCACACGCGGACGCCGCCCCCTCGCGGCTGGCCAACTAATGCGGGTGGAGGGGAGAACCCATCCCGTCCACCCGCGGCCACACTCAGGGCGGCATGAGGCGCAGGTAAGCGCGCCTCCGCCGCCCGGTTCGCCGGCGGCGGATCAGGTCCGAGTGGAGGTCGTCCTCCCGGGCCTTCTCCGCCGCCTCCTTCCGCGAGATTACCTCCTCGCAGAAGGTTGCGACCGCGGTAAAACAACTGTCGCTACCGGCCATGGAGCGAATTACAGCCGGTAGCGAGAGATCTGCTCCGATGACTGCAGTGAGGGCCCGGCGCTGCGTCGCCCATGCGGGGCAAACCGCCAGCGTGTGCTGGGCCGAATCCTCACTGCAGTCGCAGTGGTGGCAGGCGGGACTCGATTCCCTCCTAGCGACCGAGTACAGGTACTTTCCGAAGCAACCGTGCCCGGAAAGCACCTGCGTCAGCCGGAAGGAAAGGGTCCCGTGCTGCCGCCCTGCCCACTCGGCGATGACCGGCTGGAGAGCCTCCACGGCGGCGAAGCCAGCGCGTGGAGTCTCCAGCCGGAACGACCATCTCACCATGGTGGCTCGGCGAGCGGCTTCGCGCCACTCGCGCACGTCTTCGGGCGGAGGGCGAAATCCGCTCTCCGCCCGGAAGTCAGCCACTCGCCGATGAACTTCGGCGAGCACTTCCGCCTCCAAATCCCACGGGGGTGTTCCGGCCAAGGCACAGGCCACCTCGGTGGACACCGTGCGGTATCCGCGTATGGCTCTGACCGCCAATATCCTCTGGGGGCGCCAGAGGCGCGCCCTATTCGGGGCGGTCAGAGCCGCCACCCACACCGGTGCACCATACAGTGCCATGGACCGGACAACCCCTGCGTACAGCCGCCTCGTGGGAACACTGGCCCCGCCCAAATTGGGCAAAAGTCGCCCTATCCACCAGCTTCGGACCAAGCTGTCGGAAGTGCTCGTCGAAGAGCCACCTACCGTCTAGGACCAGACCCAGGTACCTCATCTGGGCCCGGACCGGTACGAGGACCGAGCCGACCTCGATTGAGGCGCCGGCAGGCGGACCACGACGGGGCCCATGAAATAATAGGGCCTCCGTCTTATCCAGGGCCACCCGCAAACCCAACGCCTCAATGCGCCCGACCACCAGGGAGACTCCCGTGGCGGCCAGGCGCGCCGCCTCCTGGAAGTTAGCCCCCCGGGCCGTGAGCAAGGTGTCATCCGCGTAGCAGATTACACTCAGCCCGGGGGGGAGACGCCCTCGTAGGGCCCAGTCGTACCCGATGTTCCACAGGAGAGGTCCTAGGACAGACCCCTGCGGAACACCGCACGACATGGCCCTGCGTCTCAAGACGCCATCTCGGTCCTCGTACATGACGGTTCGCTCCTCAAGATAGTCTGCCACCAGCCGCCTCAGGTACTCCGGCACTCCGTGGTAGCGGAGCGCTTCCCTGATGCAGCTGAATGGCAGACTATTGAAGGCGTTGGCGATGTCCAAGGACACCGCCAACACCACTCCGCCGCAGCTCACGGCCTCCTCGGTCACGGCCCTAAGGCGCATCACGGCATCGATCGTCGAACGCGCCTCTCGGAAACCGAATTGGGCGTCCGACAGATCGGGGCCAACCTCGCAGAGGTGCCGGACGATGCGGGCAGAGAGCACCCTCTCGAAAAGTTTACCCGCCTCGTCCAGCAACACGATAGGCCTATAGGCCGCGACCGAATCGGTAGGCCGTCCCGGCTTCGTCAGCAGGACCAGCTTCCCGCAAGACTAATCGCCCTTTTTTTTTTTTTTTTACGTGTGGAAATCCTCTCGGACCGTCACCCCGCCGGGGCTCTCGTTCGGCGGGGCGGTGTGTCGGACTCGAACCGACTAAAACCACACGGTGTGCCCTCTTTGCGCTTCCAGTTTAGGAGGGGTCCAGGTAGCTATCTCCTTCTGGACCCCTCCCAGCGCCGGCCCGCTCCTGACGCGGGCTCCGTCTCAGTGGACCCTCTCTTTAGGCGGCGTCCGGCACACGCGGACGCCGCCCCCTCGCGGCTGGCCAACTAATGCGGGTGGAGGGGAGAACCCATCCCGTCCACCCGCGGCCACACTCAGGGCGGCATGAGGCGCAGGTGAGCGCGCCTCCGCCGCCCGGTTCGCCGGCGGCGGATCAGGTCCGAGTGGAGGTCGTCCTCCCGGGCCTTCTCCGCCGCCTCCTTCTGCGAGATTACCTCCTCGCAGAAGGTTGCGACCGCGGTAAAACAACTGTCGCTACCGGCCATGGAGCGAATTACGGCCGGCAGCGAGAGATCTGCTCCGATGACTGCAGTGAGGGCCCGGCGCTGCGTCGCCCATGCGGGGCAAACCGCCAGCGTGTGCTGGGCCGAATCCTCACCGCAGTCGCAGTGGTGGCAGGCGGGACTCGATTCCCTCCTAGCGACCGAGTACAGGTACTTTCCGAAGCAACCGTGCCCGGAAAGCACCTGCGTCAGCCGGAAGGAAAGGGTCCCGTGCTGCCGCCCTGCCCACTCGGCGATGACCGGCTGGAGAGCCTCCACGGCGGCGAAGCCAGCGCGTGGAGTCTCCAGCCGGAACGACCATCTCACCATGGTGGCTCGGCGAGCGGCTTCGCGCCACTCGCGCACGTCTTCCGGCGGAGGGCGAAATCCGCTCTCCGCCCGGAAGTCAGCCACTCGCCGATAAACCTCGGCGAGCACCTCCGCCTCCAAATCCCACGGGGGTGTTCCGGCCAAGGCGCAAGCCGCCTCGGTGGACACCGTGCGGTATCCGCGTATGGCTCTGACCGCCAATATCCTCTGGGGGCGCCAGAGGCGCGCCCTATTCGGGGCGGTCAGAGCCGCCACCCACACCGGTGCACCATACAGCGCCATGGACCGGACAACCCCCGCGTACAGCCGCCTCGTGGGAACACTGGCCCCGCCCAAATTGGGCAAAAGTCGCCCTAGGGCGGAGGCAGTGTCCACCAGCTTCGGACCAAGCTGTCGGAAGTGCTCGTCGAAGAGCCACCTACCGTCTAGGACCAGACCCAGGTACCTCATCTGGGCCCGGACCGGTACGAGGACCGAGCCGACCTCGATTGAGGCGCCGGCGGGCGGACCACGACGGGGCCCATGAAATAATAGGGCCTCCGTCTTATCCAGGGCCACCCGCAAACCCAGCGCCTCAATGCGCCCGACCACCTGGGAAACTCCCGTGGCGGCCAGGCGCGCCGCCTCCTGGAAGTTAGCCCCCCGGGCCGTGACTAAAGTGTCATCTGCGTAGCAGAGTACACCCAGCCCGGGGGGGAGACGCCCTCGCAGGGCCCAGTCGTATCCGATGTTCCACAGGAGTGGTCCTAGGACAGACCCCTGCGGAACACCGCACGACATGGCCCTGCGTCTCAAGACGCCATCTCGGTCCTCGTACATGACGGTTCGCTCCTCAAGATAGTCTGCCACCAGCCGCCTCAGGTACTCCGGCACTCCGTGGTAGCGGAGCGCTTCCCTGATGCAGCTGAATGGCAGACTATTGAAGGCGTTGGCGATGTCCAAGGACACCGCCAACACCACTCCGCCGCAGCTCACGGCCTCCTCGGTCACGGCCCTAAGGCGCATTACGGCATCGATCGTCGAACGCCCCTCTCGGAAACCGAATTGGGCGTCCGACAGATCGGGGCCAACCTCGCAAAGGTGCCGGACGATGCGGGCAGAGAGCACCCTCTCAAAAAGTTTGCCCGCCTCGTCCAGCAACACGATAGGCCTATAGGCCGCGACCGAATCGGCAGGCCGTCCCGGCTTCTGCAGCAGGACCAGCTTCCCGCATTTCCAGCGCTCAGGGAAGCGTCCGGACGCCAGGCTAGCGTCCAACACCCCCCCTGAGGTGGTCCGACATGTAGTCGAGGGCTCGGGCCATCACTCGGGCTGGAACCCCGTCCGGCCCGGGGGCGGTGTTCTTGGATCGAATCCGTAGAACAGCCGCCCCCAACTCCGATTCCCTGACGGGCGGAACATCGACCTCGCTGCCCCCGTCGTCTCCGGCTGATGCAGCCATCGACGGGGGTGTGTGCTCCGCCCGCTGCGGGAATAGGCCCTCGACCACTTCCTGCAGGAAGAAGACTAATCGCCCTACCGTAACCCAATGACCCAAGGGCATTTTCACAAACAAATAAAAGTCGTAACACTGGGAGTTTTGAACCACGTTACCTTTATTATCATTTTCTGCAGGTGTACGGATCCTTAAATTTCCAATAAGAAGTGGTTAGGGTTGCTAAAGAAACTGTTAAAACACTAATTCGCCTAATATTTAATACTTACAATCAATTTTCTTTGTCAGGGTCTGACGAAGGGGATGAAATAAGAACAAATTGTCATCATCAATGGAATTATATATTTAATTTCTCATGTAAAATTAACACTTACAAGCTAATGGGCTCTTCACGCATACGTCGAAAGTGTATAAATAAGCTCACGAGTCAGACATTCTTGTACAATTAAGACTCAAGACGAAACATCTTCGTATCAATTAATCTATTTAAAACAATTTAGGAAGTAATTACTTGGCGAGCCATGACGCAATATTTTCTAATTTTAGTAGCTGTTTTTTTTTTAATTATTATATTTTGGCAACATTTAGTAGTATGGTATTATAGTTACCTCTACTCACATGATTTATTATTACTGCGAAGATCTAATGACAACAGTTCTGTCTTCTTGTCATCTTGTCTATTCTTCTAAAGCCTATATTTGAAAGTTTAAGTTTCAATGAAGCATACGCTACAAAATTAAATAATATTTTAAATATTCAATATTTGATTGCGCTCTTTTAACGTAATTTTTGTTTCATATATTGATATAACAGTCTTATTTAGATACCTACTAGAAAATTATCATATAAACAATGATATTTATTTCACAAGATTCATTTATACAAACAAATATAATTTTTTATTGATTGAGATTGAATATATATATATATTTTTAAATGATTTAGGCTGTACAAGTTTAATTGTTAAAATCTCTTTTATATATATTTAAAACGTATAATAAAGAAGTAATGTTTGCGCTTATACAAAGATCTCAATAAACTTTAGTATATAAATGTTGAACACGCTAATAGTTATATACACAACATATACACTTAGAACTATCGTTTTTGGACAAAGTAGATAAAACAGTAGGTTGTTTTCAAACAAGGGTAAAACATCTTTTTTATGTGCGCGATTGTACTTCACACACACAACAACACCTATTCTATAATATCATCAACAGCCTTTAGCAGTCCACTGCTGGACATACGAGTAGGCCTCTCCTTAGAGGTTTTGGCCTACTATACCACGCTGGCCAGACGGGTTGGTATAGGGTTTGTGTCAAGTTTTCCTTCTCTTTGCAGTATTTTTGTCTTGCGTAGTTTTCTCCCTTAGTCGGCTCTTACGACACCCACGGGATGATTGCGGGTGGTGACAATCCGTATTCTTAATCCGTCGCCACACTACGTCTATACATCTTGTATACAATTATCGTAAAAAGATGACAAAACTTTTTTTATAACATTTTCTTACACCAGACCATTCCGACAGATACCTACTTCTACTTATATCATTTAAATCAGTTGACAAACAACGAAACAATAAAAATATTCTGATGTCCTGAATTTCCGGATATCCGGAAATTCAGGACATCAGAAATGCATTAAAAAGTTATTGCTTGATGAGCTAATTTTGTGTATTCTTGACGACATGATAACAAAAAATCTATCAATGGTATTGATATATATTATTCTATAATATAGCGGTACCTTATATAGAAATGATTTGTGTGTGTGTGTGTGTGTCAGGTACAGACGCGCACAGATGATTCTGGTATTTTTATTAGTAAGGCTTGTGAGTCAGACTAATTGCATTCGGTAAATTAATTACATAATGATTGATATTTATACTATAACACAACCTTACACTTTTTAACTGATATTGAACTATGTTAGAAGTTAGGCACTTTTATACTAACTTTATAACACGGCCTGTGCAGCCCGGTCAAAATCATTTAATTTAATTTCCGTTAACATAACTGCGTAGTCTTCGTATATAGTCGTGTACTTGCATATGTACTTGAATGCACTTATATGAACTCGCTGAGTGTAGTGGAGTCAGTCGTCAGTACCTACATCCCATTGTATGCAGGGCCACCGCCGCCCTCGGGGACCACCCAGTTGATGTTCTGTGAAGGGTCTTTAATGTCGCATGTCTTACCTGTGACAAAAAACGAAGGTTTAGTATTGTATTCTATACAAATAAATAAAATTGAAGTAGTATTGAAAAATCAAAATTAGAGGTTTTTTTCTTGCACACACGGTTATTTGCACGATACCTTTACCTAAAAATCAGTTTAAATATTTTTTGTCTGTCCGTTTGTTCCGGGGTAACCTTCAAAACGGCTGGACCAATTCGATTGATAACATTTTACTACCAGGTAGCTATCTATATAAGAAGTAACTTAGGATATTTTTCCACAGTACTATACCACTAAGCTAGTATATACTATTATTACTAAAAGTATCAAATTTTTTTCATCCCAATGTAGTAACATAAAACTAACTAAAAAAGTACTATAAGTAAAAGCCTATAACTAAAAAAGACACACGTGAAAAGTCCTCAGTTAAACATTTTTAAAAACTATTCAGTTTTGATGATATGGTTTTAAAAAAGTGATCAAAAAATATTTAGTTTTAATGATAATTTTTATACTATGGATTTGGATACAGATACAGGAGGACAGTAGAAAGGAAGAAACATAAAGATATAACCTAGAGGGAACAAGAGCAATCTTGCAATATAGGCAACGAGAGAAGTGAATAATAGTTAGTGCCCTCTATCTCTTTCTAGCCGAGCTCTGTGGTTGCCTGGGGAATATGAGGGGTTAATGAGTAGTCGCAGCTTAGCTAAACAGAGACATAGGGAAATATCGGACATCCATGTCTCTCGTTGCTTGTATCGCTTCCACTTCCAGGTAGCTGTACCCCGTGTTATCTCTATGGGATGAAAGGATACTCTTTCACGGACTGAATGGAAGATGGCAAGAAAGTCAATGTCGGCTTCCCTTAAGTGATTCACCGCTGCTACTTACAGTGGATACAGTTTTGTGCGTTGATCTGGAGACGTTGGCCATCGCCGCTCTCCATCGGTACATACTCGTACACACCTAGGAATTGAAATGGTTTTAATTAATTAATTTATAAACTTTTTGACGTTTAATATAAGTGTTGCTAAGTTGAATTTTATCGAATATATTTTATTTTTTTAAATGTAGTTTTTAAATTGTGGAATCACAAGTCATAAAAATGTATTAGCTGAAAACTAGCATAAGGTAAGATATATTTCGTGTTGGAGATCCAAATTAAATTTTAAAAAATAACCTTAAACCTGAACAAACGGCAAAACAACTTAACGCACATTACAATTAAAATCATTTTTTTTTTAATTGCACACAGAGTAATTAGACGTAATTTATATTTTGGTAACCTCCTGTAGCCATATCCAGCTGTTGTCATGATTGCTACCATAATGGGTGATAGCGGGACTGGCGGGAGGTGGGTCTTTTTGTAGCTTCTATAACAGGGGATTTTAGCCTACTATTATACTACTATAGCCAGAAGGGGTGGCAAAGAGTTTTACTGTGAGTTTAACTTGTCTTGTAGTAATGTAAATTGCCTCACACGTCGGCTGTTACGACAACCTTGGGTAGAAAGTAGTATTTGTTAAAAGTAAGAAGTAAATTTTTTCATACCATTGGTATTGTAGAATAAAATTTCCAATTTTGAAAACATCACCAGTATGTAACTAAAATCTTGAAATAAAATATATAAATATTATTATCATTAAAAGGGGGTAGTGGTTTGTATTCTTACGCCACCACCACTCGGCTTTTGTTTTAATTAAAACAAACTGGCATTTGAATTTCTACTTCTGTCTACTACAATGTTTTCCGAGTGTTTTACGTAGTATAAATGCATATATTATGAACATTGAGGGTAAATAACAGTAAGTGTGTGTGTTTGTATTTGTGTAATGTTACAAACCTGCCGGACAGAATCGCGCCTCCGGTCCGTCGAACTCGGCGAGGTTACGTTTCACGGGTATGGTATCGTCTTTCAGAGTCAAGTGGGCTGGCTGATCCGCCTCGTGGTTTGTACCTGAAAAGAAAATGTTTAGTAAAATTTATATTATAAAGAGCTAGATGCTATGTGAACACAGACAACATAGTTAAAGGTAACACAAAAGACGTCAGGGCGGACTGCCACTAAAATAATAATATTGATCTTAAATAAGGCAGAGCCAGACCGGTAACCAGATTGCCAATAAAAAATTACATTACTTAACTTATATACACATAAATAATTGCATATTGTTGATAATAACAGCCAGTCAGACAATGATTTTTGTGATTTTTTTTTTTTTCATTTTTGACAACTCCCGCACTAGGAATAAATCCTGTGTCGCGGGGGACTTTACAAACGTACATGAAACGAACACATGAAACACCCAGACTCAGAACAACAATTTGTGAATCACACAAAGTGTCGTCCCATGTTGGGATCGGACCCACAGCACTCAGCGTAGTGGTGAGCGGCGTGGCGACCGCATAAACCACTACGCCAACCGTGCAAGTCGTGAATGATTGTGCTCACCACACAATTATTTCTCCTAAGTTGGAATTGAACTCCCGACTTCTGCCGCCATTAATCAATAATGAAAGTAAGACTAATATTCTTCCGTTTCGAACAATTTCAAAATATTTTTAAAGTACTTTTTGTTTAAAAAGCAATTCCTGTGATCTGTAACACTTACCTATGTGCACTGTTTGGTCTAGTGGTTAGTGACCCTGACTGCTAAGCCGGAGGTCGTGGGTTCGATTCCCACACAGGACAAATAGTTGCGAGATAAGCACGCTCATCTGTTCTGTGTCTGGGTGTGATTTATGTATGATATGTAAATATTTAGAAATATATAAGTATGTTTATCTGCAGCTTGGTCACCAAAACACAGGCTCTGCATAGTGACGGCCGTGCGTGATATGTGTGAGGTTCCTACCTAAGGACGTGTGTGAGATGTGTGAGATTATGTTATATTATTATTATTATTACCAGTGAGTGCCACCGATGATAACAGGTCGAAGGTGACTACACCGTCTGGCTTAGGATATTCAATTGGTTGACTTTCTTTGGCAGGCTTCAGTCTGGCGTGATCCGCGCCTGTACAATGAACAATATATATATAAAACGAAAATACACACAACCTATTTATTACAATATACCTATACAGTTTACATACAATTTGAAACAAAACTACTATAAAAAGAACCATAAAACTATTTGCAAAGCATCATTATTATTCAATAAAGAATTTAAATATAGTGAACTACAATAAAATTATTGTTTATTTATTAAAATCTTAGTTTTTTTGATAAGAAGCTGTCACATGTTTTTTTTTAATGGTTAAATAAATTGCAACTTGTACAAAAGATAAATAAATACTGACCTCCGTGGCTAAAGGTCCAAGGTTCCTTCCCTCGCACTATGGTGCTGAAGCCAGAGTACGCGATACCTCCGTACAGACCCAGCGACGTGTGGAAAGAGGGACGGCAGTTGCGGACTTGCTGTAATTAAAAAAAATATCCCACTAATATTATAAAGGTGAAAGTTTGGAGTGTATGTATGTTTTGTTACTTCACGCTCAAACGGCTAAACCAATTTTGATTAAATTTTGTTCCATACAAGTGACATCCTGGATTAAGACATAACCTACTTTTATGCTGAAAAAATGTAGTGTTCCCGTAGGATGATAAAACGCAGGTAACACCGCGAGGCGCAGCTAGTTAAAATACAAAAATATCACACACACGCCACTTTTTTACTATTTAAATATCAAATTCTTCTATTAACAGTTTTTAAACCAATTTTTTGAAATATTACTTTTTTTGATTTGCCACGCTTCACTGAGGCATTTTGTGGTTGTGGTTACATTGATGAGAAATGAAGAACACTCACACAAAAGATAGATAAAAACAATCTTTGAAGTAAGGTGCAGGTCTCAATTAATGCAGAACTTTTTGAGTTTTTGAAGCATAAACAAACCTACTTAACATTTTTAAATATACACATATACCTTATTTTGAGACTTGGTTCTATGACGTGAAATAGTTTAGATACTAACCTATTTCTATCCTTATTTTTTCGCTTATCCTTTCGTGTGAATGTATTTCTTAGTTAAGTCTTGTTATTGTTATTGAAACTTTTTACACTGCACCTAATCACTCATCTCTACACCACACCAGGGTAGACATGCAGAGAATGCCTATGACATGAAGTCCACCTTTGTACATCTTTTTTGTGCATAAGGCATTAAATAAACAAGAAAATACTAACCTTTAATTCTTTGTATACATAAGATTCGTTCAGCTTGTCCACATACTGCGTGGGGGTCACTCCCTTGTCGTGCGTGGCTTCACCAGATATGATGAGATCCATAGCTGCTTCGGCCGCCAGCATGCCTGTGATTGGGTGAATATTTATATTAAGTGCTAAATATAAATTAGTAATTTGTTTTTTGACAAATATCAAGGGAAATAAGATTGATTCTATCATAATTTGACATTAAAATCAGTATAATTATATATAAATATAATTTAATTTTGTTTTTTTTTATCAAAATTATTACATCAACAGAAGAGTAATGAATAATTAAATAAGCGGTGCCCTCGAATAAAATACAAATAAAAAATTTATAAAATGTGGCTTTTGGGAAAAAAGGTTGTCTTTAACTTTCGGGTGTTCTTTAAAAATTAAAAACTATCGGGGTGCGTGGGGTGCGTGGGGTGGGGTGCGTGGGGTGGGGTGCGCGTGTACGTACCGCTCTTCATGGCGTTGTGCGTGCCCTTGATGCGCGGCACGTTGAGGAAGCCGGCGGAGTCCCCGGCCAGCGCGCCGCCGGGGAAGGCGACGCGCGGCACGCACTGCCACCCTCCCTCCACCAGCGCACGAGCGCCGTACGCGATGCGGCTGCCGCCTGCACACACCACAACCACTTACTGATGCATTCTTACACGAGAAACTCTACAGTACACCTTGCTCGATTAAGCCTTCATTGTAACTTTATGTAACTGTTTCACAAAAAAATTCGAAAATATGTAATTCCTATTCATCACATTAATTTCCTAAATAAAATTTGTATTTGTTTAAAACTCAAAATCCTACTGTTATAACCTCATCTAACCCAAACCATTCATCAACGTAAAGAACATTCAGCGATCGCCGACAGCTGCCGCGGTAAGCTCATTCGCCTTCGCGCTTAATGGTCACTGTTCTAACCTAATCTAATCATAATTATTCAATAACAATAGATAAAATCTGACACACCAGTCAAAAGTACTATTGCCCAATGCCAGCTAAAGTAATTTTAAAAGGCTGAAAATTCTGAGTAACATATCTTGAATCACAAAAGTATAAAAAATAGTATACATTATCCTTTAATTGTTTTAATTCATTATACAGTACAAGCATATAAAACACAAAATTTTCTTATACCTTCGAACATAGGCCTGACATATGGATGCGTCTTGAACCGCTGGAACTCTCTGAAAGGGCTCAGATAAGGGTTGGAGTAATCTAAGCCCACGACGAAGCCTACGGCGACCAGAGGAGGTTCGCCTTCTGGTACTTTTAAGTGGTAGATGAATGAGCCACCGTATGTGTTCTTGTCAAGGGGCCAGCCAACAGTGTGCTCCACAAGGCCCGGCTTGTGGTTCTGGAATAAAGATTATAAATATATTTAAATGGGAACAAAATATACATCTAATAGAGAGTGGCCGCCTCGCCCCATCGAATGTTTATAGTTCAAAACAACTTTCTAAAAAAGTGCATGTCTATGTTAAGAATCTATTTACGAATATATTTTTTTGGTAAAAATTTAGTTAAGTTTGTTTCCATTTGAGGAATGAAATCCTAAAAAGAAGTTTTTAATACAGTGCTGAATCCGCTCAAAAATTTGACACCTGAATACGAATTGAGTATGTAAGTAAACATTTTATAATTAGTAAAAAATAAAACTAAGTTAATTTAATAAAGTGCGTGTATTCACCTCTGGTTTGACCTCCCACAATTCCTTTAACCCAATGCCGTAAGACTGAGGCTCGCTGTTCTCACGCAGATTATATTTACTTGAAACCATTTTAGTCAAATGGCCGTGACAACCTGAAAATAGTATAAAAAATAAACAAAATAAATAATTCAAGAGAAGATAGTACCTACATACTACTGTTACGTCATTCGTTCGATTTCCAGTAAGTGTAAATTTCTTATACTTCATAATATTAGCATTTCTATTTTTATACTTACTAAAAAAGAAGCTTATAAGCTAAGCTAAGTTTGAGTTATATTGGCGCGTATAAAATGTCTTAGATTATTTTTATTATTATTATTCCTACAAAGCAGTAGCCAAATATTATTTTATAATTTCAAGCGTTTTGAATGGTCTTGTTTTAATAAATTCATAATCTTCTACAGCCTTTAACAGTACACTGCTGAACATAGGGCTCTCCTTAGAAGGGAGGTTTTGGCCTACTATACCGCGCTGGCCAGACAGGTTTGTATATGGTTTATTTTAAGTTTTCATTCTCCTTGCAGTGCTGTTGTCGTGCGTAGTTTACTCCCTTAGTCGGCTCTTACGATGCCCACGGGATGAATCAGGGTGGTGACACTGTATTCATAATCCGTCACAACACGGACAACATTTTAATATATTAACTACTATAATTTAATCTGCCATTGTTTATACTGTTTCATTTAAAATATATAAAGCATTGTAGCACAATTTAATAAAAACGTTAGCTATCTGCACAACTACATATGAAACTATAAGCATTTCAAACGTCATATTTTTGTCTCTGTGTTTAATAAAAAAATACGTATGGAAACTTATGGTCTACTAGCTTTTGCCCGCGACTCCGCCCACGTGTGGGCCCGCTCGCATATACCGCGGGTAATAAATTGATAGGTTTGATTTTCTTTATAGGTTTTCTTAAAACATTCAAATTAAAAGCTCATTTTTTAAACATTTTTACTATGAATTTATTATTTTTAAAAACATATTTCTTATATCACCACAATATTATTGAGAGAGATCTTTGATAAATACAAACCTTCAGTAAAAATAGTGATTTTGGAGTGGAACTCCATGCCTCGTTCAAACATGTCCTTGGGGCTGCCGTCCTTGGCGATGCCCACGTCGCCTGTGGCGACTCCTTTAAGCGAACCGTCGTCACGGTATATCAGGTCAGCAGCTGCGCAACCTGGCCATACCTGATGACAGCCAAGAATAATTTAAAATATGAGCGTGTTATCCAACTCGAGTTACAAGTTTTGCGGTCCTGCCCTACTCAAGTAATCACTTGGGTACACACATATAAGACGTCTAGTCCAGTCCTCCTAGCTGCTAAGCCAGAGGTCGTAGATTCGATTCCTACCCACGACAAAATTGTGTGATGCGCATAATCGTTTGTTCTGTCTGGATGTAATTTATGTATAATATGCATGTATTTAGAAATATATAAGTATGTTTATCAGCCTAGTTACCATAGCATATTCTTAGCCCAGTTTAGGATCAGACGGCCGTATGTATAGGTTATTATTATTATAATTAGCCTTTTTCTCCGCTTCTCTTTGAATGTACTCGACTCGGCGTTAGTTATAAGCACTTAACTTTTTTTTTTAAGTTTCCTCTATTGCTTTTTGTAGGTTACAATTTTAATTAATTATGCAGTCAGCCTCAGCTGGTTGCATTTACAATAACTTAAGCCAATTACACAGTTCCAACAACAACACGACAACTTCGTTATTTCACTTCGGGATCGCGTTAATTCTCGAATTAATCATTACACTCATACTTTCTTATCAGAAACTGCATATCAAAATGTAAACAAGATTCATCATCATCTTTTACTAGAGGCATGTGAAAAGCAAAAATAGTTTAAAAATATCTAGTTTATAAGACTTTTGCTTAATAAATTCATGATTGAAATAAAAAAATACATGATAAAATAGAATTATTGTTGCATGTGTAGGTAGTGTTATGCCGAGACATTTTCAAGGAGGGTATTAATAACGCAACTGGGTGTATAAATTATTTATAGATACCGCGAATTACTGGCAGTCATGTCCCGTAACCAAATTATTGGTAAAAAAATGTTTGATGTTTTATTTAACTGAGCGTGCTATGAGTAACCCTATTCCGATTAGTCACTAACTGGCCCTGTGGCGCAACGGATAACGCGTCTGACTACGGATCAGAAGATTCCAGGTTCGAATCCTGGCAGGGTCGCAGGTTAATCTTTTTATTTTTAACTTTTTTTTATATACGGAAATGTTAACATATTCATTTCCTAGATTTCTAAATATTTTAACTGAGCTCAATGTTAAATTTTACATTTTATGAAGTATAATACACGTTAAATAATAACCTACAGACTGTATATTTTTTCCTTTTAATTTTCAACATCATTACTTTATTACAGAAATATAATTCACACCCGTGACTCCGATCGCGTAATTATTTTCTATAGTTATTTCTAACTTCATCCCTTATTTTACCCTCTTATGTTGGGAAATTTTCAAAAAACCTTTCTTAATAAGTGCTTACAACATTAAAAGCAACAGCTGTCCAAATGAAATTTCAGCGTGTCGTATTACGACAACTAAAAGTCCAATCTGTATTAAGAGTACATTAGAACAAAGACGAAGGGAATTTGGATGAGTCGATAAGGGTTCTACAGACTACCATCTGGTAAAAAACATAACCCAGACCTGCAACAACACTGGGGAGCGTCTCCTGTTTCTGTATACTTTGGATAATAGGCTAAAAGATAAATCACTTGATGAAGTAATATTGAATCAAGTTGGGATCTTCTTAGAACTTTATGACTTTAACATATGTTTATATGACCTCGCACAAATTTTGTATAGGTTCATCTCTATTATACTTAGTTATGTTCTTCAGTCCAATTCAAATTTTATTGCTGATTGTAAAATAAAAACAAGGGTGGAAAAACGGAAAGAGCTAGCTTTCAAACAACGATGTCACAGAAAAATTAGAGTACATATAATTTTTTTTTTTCAAATGGTAAATAAAGTCATACCTCTGCACCAGCTGCTTCTGCCTGTTCTCCAAGCCATTTCACAAGATGTCCAAGCCTCACAACATAGTTGCCATGATTGTAGTTAGGTAAACCTTGAAAAGGATAAATTATGACTGAGCTACCAGAAATACTCTTCTATTTGCCATTCTAGAATATAAGGTATGACCTCTGTGAATAGAGAATGGGATGAGTAGGCCATGCACAGATAGAAAATACTTGTGGTAACTATTCAACATCTTCAATACAATAACTATTGCTGGCCTTATGGTAAAATGTACAACTGTGTCATTGATTAACAACCAGGCCATAGTTCAGGGCTTCAATGCCGCTATTTTAATATTGTATCAATAGACTGTCAATGGAATGTTGTTGTAACAGTATTGCACTTTTCCTATTCTACTATGTAAGACCAATGGCCTCCCGATGACTTGTCAGTGAACTGCCTTTGATATAAATGTCATCGATGCCTTTGTAATAGTTTGATAAATAATACATTTTAAATTTGAAAGGATTTTTTTTTTCTAGATAAGATAATTATGTTGATATCATTGTTGATGAGCTATTGTCACTACATTGATGGTCTATTGACACATACATACTTTGATGGATAGATCTGGACTATCTGCCAAATAAAATTGGTGCAATGACTAAGCATCTGGCAAACCACATTTGCATCAAGAAAATAACTTACCACGGAATGCAGGCAGTGGTATTCTGCCACTCTTAGTTAGTAAACCAAACTTGTCTGATGTAACTGGAGTATTCATTGGTGCACCTTTTTCCTTCCAATCTGGTATCAGCTCATTAAGAGCTATGGGGTCCACACAGGCCCCTGATAAAATATGTCCTCCAATTTCAGCTGCTTTTTCTAGCAAAGTCACTCTGACTTCCTGTAAACAAGTTTAAGCATGTCTCTAACTTAAAAATGCATATTTTTATTTAGACAGCTGTTGCTCATAAACACAGCTCGCTGAACTAAAATTTGAAAATATTGTTAGTGACAGTGTTATGTAGAAATTATCCATACCAGAAAGTGGTTGAATTAATGGCAAGTTTTTTATTTAGAGACAAAAATATTAGGTAAATGTGTAGTGTATGAAAGCGTACTATTTAATATGGCTGTCAGACACAGTCTACCTATAATATTTACTTACAGCTCCCTTTTCCTCTGCTATTTGTCTTGCTTTGATGGCGGCAGCCATACCAGCTGGACCTCCTCCAATGATTAAGATATCCGTCTCCTCCGCAACCCGTTCCATACTTATATCTGAACATTATAATGGACCAAGATAAATTACTCCTAATTAAAAGTTAGATGCTAAGAATATAGATTTCAGCATCAAATTTTTTGTTTTCAAATATAATCCTCAATGAAAATACAAACACATTGTCTCATTTTGTTTATCGCTGTTACATATCGTTAATTATCGTTATCTGATTTTTACACTAAAACAATAAATTAAGACGTCCTTGTTTCTACGGAAACTCGCTAGATTATTTTTGACTCACCTTTCCATCTTGGATCCTTGTCTCTGGGATGGATTGTGTAGTGTGTAGTTATTTTGGGGTATGCATCTGAATAAAGTCTTCTTGCAGCGCTTGTTAGCCTCCCCACTGAAAGTTTAAAAAAGAAAACGTCACAAGTTAAACCAAAACAATGAACTTTGAACTTTTATATTTAGTATCTTCATTGCATAACAATGCTCAACAAGGTCATATAAGTATTTTTATCACTGCCCGGTTGATAAAATTAATTAAATAATATACATTAAATAGAACAAACGCAAAAAGATTAAAAATCCAACTCACGAACAGCTGATAGCCAACATCCATGCAACAAACTTTTTAAACTTGATGTTTTACACAACAAACCGGGTATAAAAATAGAATTTATAATTTATGCTTAAATTCACAATTCATAAATGATAAAAAACATTAGTTCATATTTAAAAATGCAATTTATTTACCCTGACGAGACGAACTAACAAGTGCCGCCGCCATAGTTAAAAACAATATGCGTTCCGATTCGTCAACTACAACAGAATCCAACATTTTTACGAGGTATATAGTTTCTGATTCTAATATATTATTTATAGAATAAAAATTATAGTTATAGTATAAAAACCACTAAAATAAAGAAAAATATATACTTAACTGTGAAAAATATTTACTAGTATAGCAAATCAGAATCGTTTTGTAAATGTTAATGCTAAAATTGCCAGTATGGTATAAAAGGAACGTTGTATTTTCGCGGTAATTTTCGTAACTTTTATATTTTCGCATTGTGTATTGAATTACTCGTATTTTATAGTTTTTTGAAAATGTAAAGAACTAATGACCATTTTACTTAAAAAAAATAACATCTCTATATTTTATATCAGGAAAAATGTAGTAGACTGCAGTTTTAGTAGCTGTAAATAGATATCACTAACTGGGTAATGACTTTTTTTCTGATCTGCCTTGTCTTCTCTGGTACATTTGGGCTGAGAACTCGTGGATTGGATTTTTGCCTAAAGATATACATGAATGGACCCTATTAAGCAAAAAAGAATTTAAAACATTTCTAAGTGAAAAATTTATAGGATTCTTGAAGTTTGGTTATTTGTTAATATTTATACAAAAATATACCATCTTAACGATGAGATTCATGTTCACTTAAATGCTAGTTGACGAAAGGGTCTGTCGGACTCTTACCGATTAAAACCGGTTTTTTGCTTGCCCTGGGGGATGAGAATCGCAATCGCAATTTTCTTCGCCACCCCAAACACCACACCCCACAGGTCTTAACAGGGTCTAATTCAAGTTTGCTTTACTTGAGTTTACACAAACCTAAATTTATTTCTTTGTGTCGCGCAGATACCTGTCTCTGTTATCCACTTTTGTTTATTAATTTATATTGAACACTTTCTGCAAATACATTGTGTAAGGCGGACTTAATGGCAGGGGCATTTTCTTCCAGTCGCCTTTTGTATACTTATATTTATATGAACTTATATTTCAAGGTAAAAATATTATATTCAAGAGTTCTGATTACGCTTTACACCAATTTTGCTTGTGCTCTTCGAAACAATTATTTTTTTGAAATAATAAAAAAATCCATATTAAAATAAGCAAAAAAAAACATTTATTTTTTAATGAATAAATAACTAAATAAATATATGAATTTATTGATGTGTCAGTATTTTTAACTATAACGTGCTTTTATACTTTTAATCAAGGAAAGTTGTTTTTACTTACTACGGCAATTTTATGTGAAAAATGTTTTTTTTTCTGGCCGTCATTTCACATATAGTAGTAATCCAGTATGTTGTCATTATTATTTGATTAAAGTCTTATAAATACACATTAACAGTAGGATAGTAAAACATGTGCCTACTTAAAAAGGCCCGCATAAAAAGGTTTGTCAAAAAAACTATAAGTACTTAACTAGACTCTTTTCTTGTGATGTATTTTACTTAAGTGTGATAATTCTAGATATAGGTAGTGTCCCTTACTTAATACCAAATAACAAAAAAAAAATTAACTTCAAAAACGAATTATAAAAGTCAGAAAAGGCCAGGCCAGGACAACTTCTGTTAGGTCTGTTGGTCGTAACACACTGACTGGACTAGGCAGGGTGACATTCTTACAGCTCATACATTATTCACTGATCTTGTACCCATTTCTAGTATTTGAGAATTAGGACGTGAAAGTATGGATATGGCGGACATCCCACCAGTTGTCTACAACAACGTAATTATACCTCTGAGTCCAGTATTAAAGAACCTGGGGTTACACACCTCCAACTTTATCAATTCTTCCTTCTATGTACAGTCAGTTCTTCTCTTGAATGCACTCCCTGCCGAAATCAGGATAGTCATAAGGCACCTTACATTTAAAACAAAATTACTCTAGCTTCTTCGGAATGAATTGTCAGAACAGTCACAATACTAGTACCTGACAATATTGTATATGTGTATTTATACTGTATTCTTATAAACTTCTATGTAAATATAATAATGTATGTAGTTTTTTTTTATGTTAGAGAGGGCAGACGAGCAGACGGGTCACCTGATGGAAAGTGACTATCGCCGCCCATGAACGTCTGCAACTCGGGAGTCACAAACGCGTTGGTGGCCTTTTAGGAAGGATTAAGTACGCTCTTTTCTTGAAGGTCGTATCGGTCCGGAAATACCGCGAACGAAAACCCGTTCCACAGATTGGTTGTGCAGGGCAAAAAGTGTCTCGAAAAGCGCACAGTAGTGGAGCGCCAACTATCCATGTAATGAGGATGAAAATTTTGCCGTGTGGAACGATGGCGGAAATTTGCGGCTGGTATTAGTCCGAATGCGAGCACTCTCCATGATATATGCGATAGAGAATGCTGACTGAAGCCAAGAGCCAAGGGATCGAGCCAATCGGAGATGTTCGGGCTATCGACGATTCGAGTCGCTCTTCGTTGGATGCTCTTTGTTGAATTTATGTATTTTGGTAATATCTAATGTAGGTTTATCTCTTGTTTACCGAACTATGATGAGCTATGACAAATTTAATATTTTATCTTTGCACCTACCGCATCATATTTATACATTACCTGAAGAGAAGAGAGAGAGAGAGAGGGGAGAGAATGCCCAATGGCATCAAGTCCGCCTTTGTATAACACGTGCATTAAGTTTGTATAAATAAATTTAAGGGTATTTAGTATAAAACACCTTTTTATTTAAAATTAATACTTTTATGGAGAAAGAATAATACTAAAAAAATAATAATACAGAATAAAACCATAAATTAAGAATATATTTTTTATTAAAGAAAACTTAGTAATAAATAAAAGACGTAACGTCGTTCAATATCTGAAACTACTTCACTGGTTTCATTTGCCACAAACCGTCGTTCAGATAGTGGCAGTTTTCTATGCCTACGCCTTTGTTCACTTTAGCTCTGGAAGCAAAAGAAAAACACAAAATTATAAACAAAAACTAATACCATGACTACAGGTAAATGAACCTAACTTTTTAAAAGAAATAGTAACTTTAATATTTTTGGTTTTTAATTTCCTAATATCATGGTTATATTCGGAAATTGAGACCGAAAATATTATCCGAACTTTATTATGCTTGTATGATAAGTATTTTGGGCTTGGAATAGAATTTTGAAAGAACGACTGCTAATTAATGGAGATGGTAGATAGCTAAAACAGAATTGTTGAGTTTTACGTGAAGTACAACAAAAGCAAAATATCAAAACACTAAAAGTTAACCCGCTGCATTGTTAAACGTAACAATATTAGTCTTACATATCAGTAGTGGAAAGCGATGTGGTGCCAATCGCTAGAGCATGCTCCTTGCCCTCCGCCATAACTGCTACCACCTGACCTTTATCCACAGTTGTCATTCTAGCCCCCGGAGAAGTTAAACCCGGGCACATGATGTTGGCACCACTGAGCACGAAGCGAATGGCACCCTTGTCGACCTGCTGCATCGGCAGAAAGAAAGGATCTGAAACGGTAAGAATTTAAAATTAGAATCAGAGACAACATGAACAATATTTCCTTTACTATATTGGTTGTCGACACAGTATTATCGTGGCTTTCGGTTTTACAAGCGGTAATTTTTTAAGGAACTCAACATTTCAAGTCGGGAAATTGTCTTAATTTCCTTAGACTTTCTTATAAAATAAGATTAAAGTATATTAAACCTCTTTCTAATTATAATTTTGTTATTTTGCGTTATGGGACAAAAGGTCAATGTTACCTATTGTTAATGTGTCCCTTCACATTCTTTCAAATACGCTTTTATATTATAACTCAATATAGACTAGAAATCGCCTAGTGGTAGAATTTCGACATAATTAATTTGAAGGTTCATTTCATTCTAGAATAGATGTCATTGTATAGACTTATGCACCTACAATTATACTCGTATTTGATGTAATCCGTAACCGTTTTCAAGTTCGGACAAACTACGGCTTGACGGTCGTTGGGCCCTGCATTTTAAACCTCTAACATCTTCTAGAATATTCATTATAGTGATATGCCGTAAAGAGCAATTTTAATCTACATTAAATGCACAACGTATCGTATTGAAACAATAACGTATTGTTTAAAATAGCTTCGTAAATAACCCCTAATTTTTGGTAATATTAAAAAGATAAAAATGGTTACTGTAGGTGTCCTTAGGAGTTAGACATATACCATTACGGACTTTTTGTAGATCTTTTTAAGATATACAATTCCGTAGTACATTATTTTGGTCTATTTCGTAAGGTTTTTCAAGACAAATTATTGAAATTCTCGGAATTTCTCTGCTATAATACGAATGTATTATACATATAAACCTTCCTCTTGAATTATTCTTTCTATTGGTGAAAACCACATTAAAATCCGTTGCTTATTTTAACAGATCTAAGCATACAACACAAAGAAAATCGACTTTATACAATTGTCACGAAACTTCACGAAAGTTCAATTAACCGCGCAGTTTCAGGAATCGTTTAATAATAATGTAGGTTTGTACGGAACAATAAGTTCTATACTAATACAAAAAAGATCAAAAATATGATGTTTACATTTGAAACGAATTTGTATTTCTCGGAAGCGGACGGTTCTTGTAGGGATTGGAAATTGCTGGAATGTTCCTTTACGAGTATTATACAGACGTCTTCGTTGGAGTCATTTCAGTTCGAGCTAAAGTGCTATAAACATCGAAGCGATTAAAGCGAATATAAGTGTAACCCAGCGACCTGGGCGAACATTTCGGACTATTCTTCAGCATTGTGTGAACGTCTTAAAGTGTGGTAAGAATAAAGGCTCTTTGGTCAGAAGGCTTATTTTTCCGAATTAAAGAGCCCTAATACGTAACACTATGTAAAGAAATTCTCTCACGTAAATTGCATTTTTGCAATGCAGAAAAAAATGCAATTTAAATCAGTAACTAGACATATGGTAAAATCGAAAGGTTGGTTATCTCTGACAGATCTTAAGATTGACATGATAGCAGTGTGTGAAGGGATCGATAACTGTTATTCAGACATAGTCTGTACCACCTGTATATCAGTTATGTACAACAGATTCAAAACAGATATATATATATATATATATATATATAGAATACAACTGTGAATACAAATGATATCTGTCTGGCCAACCCAAGCGAATGGCATGCTATAAAGATAGCAAGAGGACTCATTTCTGGCTGATTTATAAGCGATAGCCGCACCTCGCTCCGTGTATAGGTACATGTATACACGGAGCGATGTGCGGCATATTCAACTTAAATCATTCCCTGACTTAGGAAGCAAACTACGCAGGATAAAACAGCACTGCCTGTCTGGCCAGCGTAGTATAGTAAACCTCTTTCCCAAAGAGAGGCCTATATCCAGCAGTGGACAGTTATAGGCTGTTGAAATCACGCTGGCCAGACGGGTTGGTATAGGGTTTGTGTTGTGTTCCTTTTCTTTGAAGTGCTGTTGTCTTGTAGTTTGGTCCCTTCGGCTCTTACGACACCCACGGGATGAATAGGGGTGGTGACATTCCGTATTCTTAATCCGTCACCACACTGATAAATTTCAGCATATACAAAATATTAAGTCTTAATATAAATAAGACTTATTATTTTATTTTAAATTTAAGACTCAATATTTTATTTTAGAAAATTATTTCACAAAATTATAGATTTGTTTCATAAGATTTTGAACAACAGGATACTACATATATTACTTTCACCATCGTTATATTCCTGTTTTTCTTATAAATTCGTTATATTACTTAAAATAAGGTTTCAAAGAAAGCATAAGTCGTAAATGGTTTAAAAAATTACAGCACTGACATTAAATAGAAATAAAACTAATTTGACATGTCAATCAAAACTTTTTTGTTTATTATAAATGAAGTAAAGTTTATCATATATTTATTGACTCAGGGTCAGTATCGATATCTCGGCGTTGAAAGTGGCATGGAACATGAGTTTAGCTATACGACCTTCAGAGGTCCCGTACCGATTTGGCCTTTACCTCTACATATTCAGTATACTCATTTGAATTGATAATAATACAAAGGAATAATACAAGTAATTACCATTCTTACCTCCGATGATTCGTATTTGATATAATTAAATATTTAGAAAATCAAATATGAATGAAAAGAAAGAGCTATGATAAGTTTTATAAAACTACTAGCTTTTGCTTGCGGCTCCGCTCGCGTACATTTTGAATATCGTAGTAAAAAGTAGCCTATGTTACTCGCTCCTAATGTAGCTTTCCATAGGTGAAAGAATTGTTAAAATCGCTTTAGTCGTTGAAGCGTGAAAGCGTAACAAACAAACTCAATTTCACAGTTACAATATGAGTGCGGATTTTAACGAGAGAGAATGATAATAATTTCATAATAACTTGAGATATCCGAAACACGATCGTCTGATCCCAAACTAGGCAGAGCCTGTACTATGGTAACCAGACTGCTAATAAACATACTTATATATTTCTAAATACATACACAATGTTCTGTGTGGGAATCGAGCCTACAACCTCCGGCTTAGCAGTCAGGGTCATTAGCTCTTAGATCAACAGGCCTGTCATTATAGTGGTATCTTTACAGATCATAAAATAAGGTCGCTTTATTGTGTTGTACGCTTAGATCTTTTAACTAAGCAACGGGTTTTAATGCGGTCACCAAGAGAGAGTGATTAAAGAGGAAGGTTTATATGTATAATACATGCACATTATAGTAGATAAATTCCGAGAATTTAAAAGATTCGTATAAAAAAACATGTTTTTGTGCGCTAACACTGCAAATGCTGGCTAAACTTTACGAGATATACCAAAATAACTTACTACGGAATTGTATATCTTAAAAAGATCTACAAAAAAGTTAGCGATAGTATATGTCTATCTCCTAAGAATAACAATCAGTAACCATTTTTATCTTTCAAATATTACAAAAAAATAATGGGTAATTTACGAAGCTGTTTTAAACATTACATTATTATTCTTTATCCAATGAAATACGTAAGATACGTTGTGCATTTAATGTAAATTAAAATTGCTATTTACAGCATATCATTAAAAAACATGTTTTAGAAGATATTAGAGGTTTAAAATGCGGGGGCCCAACGACCGTCGAGCCGCACGTCCGTCCCGGGGACCGGCAGGATCGGAGCGGGTCTATAAATATTGCATATAAAAATGTCTTGTAGTACAGTCCTCCTATCATAATAACAGTATAATTAATTACTACACACTGACACCACATTAGAAGTATTAGTAGTATCTACATTGCATCCGTGCGAAGCCGGGGCGAATCGCTAGTCTGGTATAAATAATCTTATATCATACCAACCTACTTCCAATAAACGTACGGTTAGGATCAGAAATCAATCATACATACATAGTATATACGTATTTTTCAAGGAAATGCGAGGGTTCCAACACCCCATCCACTAGCGCTAACAGCATCATCAATCATCAATCGAAAATCTGACAGTCTTCTAGCCTTTCACGTCACTTATAATAAAGGTCAAAGTTTGTATTGGCAGTATCATCTTTCATTGATAAGGCTATACAGACAAGACTGTTTTTCTTTCAGATCATTTTTATGATAATGCGCCTTTGTTTTGATTGACGTCAAATATTTAACAGCTAGTGACATGTGTTTTAATTTACTCTGTGGTGTGTATGGGAAAAGAAAAGAGTTGTTTTCATTTTTCTCTTTTTTATTCTCCATATGAACCTACTAGTGCCTTAACGAAAGTATGAAATAGTTGAAAAATTAAAAATGGCGGCTCTCGAGTTTTGCGCTAAGCAACACATTTAGCGATTCATTTTTATTTATGTTAGATTATTAATTAAAATAACTTACATTTATGTAGCAGTTTTAAAGTAGGCATCCAAGGACCCTCGCGATGTCTGAAGAATAACAGCTCACCAGCGCTGTTCACCATAATCTCAATGTGATCGTGGCTGAAAAAGACCAGAAAACTTTATCAGTTTTTGTTAAATTTTTGTGCTCTTATTATAGCTTTCCACCAATCTTTGGCATACAATTCTAGACCTGATATTTGTCAATGTCTTCTTCATCATCAACAGCCTATAATAGTCCACTGCTGGACATAGGCCTCTCCTTAAAAAGGAGGTTTTGGCCTACTATACCACGCTGGCCAGACGGGTTGGTACAGGGTTTGTTTCAAGTTTTCCTTCTTTTTGCAGTGCTGTTGTCCTGTGCAGTTTGTTCCCTTAGTCGGCTCTTACGACACCCACGGGATGAATAGGGGTGGTGACATTCCGTATTCTTAATCCGTCACCACACGGACTTGTGGACGGACACCACACGGATGTCTTCTTAGGCGCGTTTGAAATACAAAACGGTTTACTTTTTTTGTTTGTCATTCGCAAACGTCAGTGGCGGTAAATACATGTTTTCGTCTTCTATTGTAACAACAAACATAGCCAAATGATATTGTACATTTAAGGCCTAGATATGTGGGTTACGTTGTACAAAATAAAAGGCAAAAAAACAAAAAAAAACTATAATCGCCGTTGTATTGATAGCCTTAATACAGGCTTAGCATAGTGTAGTTATCATTGTTAAACAAATAATGTAAAACTGGACTTCAAATAAATGATTATCATTATAAAGATATAAATAAAAGAAATTATTCAATGTGGATACATGTTTCATTAATGAAAATGATGCAAGACTACTTGCAACAGCAATAACGATCACCAAAATTAACAACACCTTTCTCTCAAAATCTTATTGCAACAAGAAAAAATCCTAGTCTACCTAGCAAGACCCAAGGATTAAGAGAGAACTAGATATTGCCCGCGACTTCGCTAACGTGATTATTTCCTATTTCGTGTTTCTAACGTCCATAAAACGGTTCATCCCTTATGTCAAGCGGTGAAATTTCCAAAATTCCTTTCTTAGTGGGTGCTTACAACATTAATTTCAAAATTAATTTCACAATTTCAAATTTGGAGCTCCAGCAGTTGTGGCTCCACGTCGATGAATCAATTAGTCAGTCAGGGTAAGTTATTTTATATGTATAAACTAGCTGAGACCCGCGGTGTTACCCGCGTTTGTTGTTATAATCGCGGGCAAAGCCGCGGAGCGAAGCTAGTCTAAAAAAAGTAGCTTAAGTTACTCCTTATGTCATCAGCTATCTGCCAGTGAAACTCCCGTCAAAATCGGTCCAGTCGTTCCAGAGATTACCCGGAACAAACAGACAGACAGACAGACAAAAATTGTAAAAAAATGTTATTTTGGCATATGTACCGTGTAAACATACATATGCATTTAGTAAAAAGCGGTTATTTAAATATTATAAACAGATACTCCACTTTTATTTATTTGTATAGATATAGATGTATAGATGAAAGGTCGTACCATTTAACAATTCTGAATGTATCCTTCTTTGGAAGCACTTGGTCGATATAGTTGTCAAGATGTGGGTACAGCTCCAGAAGACGTGCACGGATGCCCTTCTGCACCGAGGACTTCAGCTGTTGCACACCCGATATACTTTCCTTCTCGTCGAACCTGGAAATAGAAAAACAGATAACTTACTTTTAATACTACTATTTAGTTAAAATTGTTTAGCATCCATACCTTAGATGAAACTTTGTACAAAGATTGTCCGAGTCCCGGTAAAGGACATACGATAGTTTTTATCCCTGAAATCATCCTTTAAAGGGGTGAAAATGGGGTGGAAATTTGTATGGGGAATCGATAATTCCTAAACCAATTTAGATGAAATTTGGTATGAAGATACATTGATGCTTGAAGAAAGACATGGGCTTTTTGGCGCTTTTTTACCGCGATAACCGAAATTTATGCGGACGGAGCCGCGGGCAAAAGCTAGTGTTCAGGTAATCATACCATTTCAGTTTAAGATTTGACTTTTTGCGATTTTTTTCTGTCATTCGTTGATTTACAGTTACATAAGGCTGGATTAATATTCTGACCTAGACTTGCACTAAACATAATATAATAATAACAAGCCGGAGTTACAAAGCAAATATTCTAATAAAAAGGTTTAATAAAAAATATAGGTAATATTTAAATGTTAATTAACGAAACCAAGAACTGTATCCAATCTCGGCAAATCCTTCTATGTATGTATAATTAAGTTGCATTAAACAATCTAAGTTTCAAAAAAAACCTTTTGTTTTGATTGATAGTATCAACCACACCTAGTGTAATAATAAAAAAAATACTAGATTTACTGTTAAATATGCAAAATAGGAGCTATATAATGTTTAACAACAGCTTGTTGGCAACATCGCGTGAGTAAATAGCAAGCAACCCTAACCTACATACAAAAATTTTTTTTTTGTTTTGTGACAGATAATCAAAGGCACTTTTTTATATTATAGGTATTTTATAAATAAATTATATTTTGATTAAAAATTCTTAAATTATTACTTTAAATAGTTTTTCGTTTGACTGTACTATTTTTGGCCTGAACAATAGATTTTGTATTTGTTTATGGCGGTGGTGGTCTAAGTCGCCGGAAGAAAAATATTCAAAAATGGCAACTGGGAACCCTCCTAAAAGGTCTAAATTGGAGCGCCAGGCGATCTCTAATAATAAATGACTAGATGAAAACACATCCCAAATAATGGTAACTGTTTATAATCTGTACTGATTTTCATAACAAAGTGACGTAAGTTTAGTTGACGTCATAGGATGTGGAATGTTGCTGAGACTAGGAGTCTGCTGGCACTAATTAGCACTGTTAGCTCATGTATTTGTCTTATATAATACATTCACAGTCATGAATTTCACTAGCTATGTTTGATCTCGCTTACAAATTTATATTTACTGTATTTAACGAATTAAATAACATTACTGCGTAATATTAATTAACACGTTATTGTATTATTTTTTTTGTTAGAACTGAATTGTGTAAAATATTACATTAGTTTAAAACTGTGATTTTGAAAATGCTATTCACATTAAAACTTATAAAAATATCAACGGACATACGGACACAAAGGACTCAGAACAACAATTTGTGGATCACACAAAATGTTGTTCCATGTGGAGATCGAACCCACAACACTCAGCGTAGTACGAGGCGGCGAGGTGACCCGGCGCTTAAACCACTACGCCATCCGTTCAGTCAGTACCTTTAGTACCTTTAGTAAGCAGGACTTAAATAAGTCATGGGGCAACAATTAGAAAATAATAAGTAAAGATTTACATTTAGTATTTTTTTATGATACATGGGGCTAACGAGCAGACGGGTCACCTCATGGCAAGTGACTACAACCGCCCATATACACCTGCAACTCAGGAGTCACAAGTGCGTTGCCTGACTATGAGTGGATCTCCCTCCTCTAATGTTAGGGGCAGAGAGACGGCCCGGGATACGTCGTAGAAAGGAAATCCTTGGATTCCCAGCTACTGGTACCCGAGACGGCGTGAAAAAGAAATCTTTTTCGCGCGGCTCCGCCCGCATTTAATAGAAGCCTATGTCTTTCTTCAAGGATCAAAGTATATAATACCAAACTTTATCTAAATCGGTTCAGCGGTTATTGATAAAAACTAACCTATGTCCTTTCCCGGGACTCGGACTATCTCTATACCAAATTTCATGTAAAGCGTGAAGAGGTAACACACAGACAGACAGACCTTTCTGGATATTAGTATGGATCACATAATGATACTTGAGGTTGAGCTTGAAAAAACAGTTACTGACTGCTTCTTAGGTAGTTTTTGAAAATGTAAATGGCTATGGACTACTTTTTCTTTTTTTTTTTTTAAAGACAACTCCCGCATTAGGAATAAATCCTGTGTCGCGGGGGACTTTACAAACATACACGAAACGGACACATAAGAAACACCCAGACTTAGAAAAACAATTTTGTGGATCACACAAAGTGTCGTCCCATGTGGGGTTTGAACCCACAACACTCGAAGTAATAGGAAGGCGGCGTGGGCGACCGCTTAAACCACTACGCCATCCGTGCAGTCAAACTTAAGTCAACTTTATATTTGTTTTCTATTTTCTGCCGAAATCCGTTACCATTTTACAGATTTGTATTCCAATACCTACACGATAATAAAATGTAACAACAATTTCCGCAATAGAAACACTATATAGGTACAAACATAAAAACAAACACATAAAAACAAACACTATATAGGTACTATTGTTTTAAGAATTTCAAATAAAATGTTTATTAATTGAAAAAGTGTCTAGAGTTGTAGGCTTAGTCACGGTACTATTATAATACAGTATTGTAACTCGGGCCGCATGATAGAAATAAATGCCTACAGCCGCGCGGTACTTAAACATGCGTTAGGGGCTGCCCGTCTCCAGCATTTTAATTATATTTGCCTACTTTCTGTTTCTATTTAGATTTGTGATTGTAAATATCCTTTTTTATATAAATAAATGAAATACTTTGTATATTGAATAGGAATTGTTCAATAAAAATGCGTGTTGTTTTTTGATTGGTAGATTTAATTAAAAAACATTTTTTTGTTTGAAAAACCAATCGGGCTTATAAATTAGCGACCGAAAAAAATCCTTCTATAAAAATAAAATAAATGTGCTTTCTCCATACGCGTTACAAAACATCCAATCCTTAGAAACTCCAACACCTACCACCTACTCAACTAGAATGCAAGAAACAGCTGACGAGTAAGTAACTTTTTATCTCAGCTAATTAACGTCTCTATAAATTACCTAACCTATAACCTACAACTCGCAACAACTCAAAACAAAATTCTTTGGTCACCAATTAATTAATTATTAAAAAGCTAAACAGCTGACTACGAATGTTTTAAAATCACAACCCTCAAACATCTAAATTATATATATGAGTCTAGCTGTTGTTGTTAATACCGAGAAAATAAAACCAGTTTTTAGTGGTATATTGTTGTTATAGTAGCAGCAGAAACACTTTGTGAAAATTTCGAAAACTGTCTAATGACACACAGACGGTAACAAATTTTTTTTAGTATTATTCATACACACAGATAATAAAGATATATTATTAATAATAAAATACCACGTCTTTAAGTAGAATTTCTTTTTTTTGAATTATGCAAAGTAACAAAACAAACATGCACCGAAGTTTTAACACAAGCGTAAGTAGGTAGGTACCTACCGTATCATGATTCATTCAGAACCGCATGTAACTCCCTATTTCACTCGTCTCAATAAACTTTCCGTTACTCTATTTGCTTTATTTATTCATCCAAACACCTTTTTTTTTCGTGAGATAAAAGGAAATACTTATCCATTAAAAAGACACACATTATGTACCTACGTACTAGTAAGTAAAATTATTTTATAGTCTTACTTTTCAGAGTTTCCAGGTAATTTAAAAAAACTTATGTCTGGATGCGTTATTGACGAATTCATACAACCAAAAACAGCACAATATTTCCTACTCGTCATATTAACTGATTTTTAGAGAAAAAAATCGCGCGGTTATTGTTAAAAAAACAACACGCAGTCCGTTCGACACTGCAGTACAGCCGTGACTGTCTGCGCCCCGAGCGCACCCCGAGATCGAGGCGCGTAGGTATAGCTCCCGTTTCGTCCGTTTGTATGAAGTTGCAGTACTGTATTATAATAGTACCGTGGCTTAGTGGTCATTTAGTAGAATTCTGTTTGCAGGTGAGTTTGGGGAAGGTGTTTTGGCACATATGGCCTCGGATACCACCCACCGGTGGTTATGTCGAACTCGAACTGACCAAACACCGCACGGGGAACCAGGTGTACCCTAGGAAGCAAATTCCTGGTACCCGACGGAAAGTCGTGTACCAGAGATGTGTAAGTGCTAAAATCTCTTTAGGCGTTAATCCGCACGTCGTAAATTTAACAAATTGATGTAGGTATTAGTTTCGTAAACTACCCTCAACAGTCAAATTCATATTGATTCTTTATAATATTAGTTTTAAATGAATAGAAATTAAAATATTCCCCATCTATTAACCCACAGTATTCATAGTTTTGTTATTTGATTACATGATATAGTTTGAAATAGTCTTTATAAAGTTTATATAACTATACATAAAGTGTATAAACATGTGCAGATCTGACATTTTAAAGATACACATACGACAAAATTACAGTCGTCGTTATCAATGGCGGATCCAAAAACACAATGAGTACAAATCGATCAAAATGTTTGTAGATGACGTACTTTAATTACTCAGATTGAGTCGCAATTGTTATGCATGTAAATCGCGAAAGTAAAAAACAGAAAGAGGCATTGAGTTTGTTGGGAACAATAACCCTTAACTAGGTTACATGTAATAATTGGAGTCGCAATATGATTTTATATGGCAATCTAATAGCTGGTAATTTATGTAGTTATTCTAAACATGTTTGAATTAGGGCGTAGTCTTTTGAAAAGGACAGGTACTTTCTGGTCCGGCACCAGAAAGTACCTGCCTTTGCAAAAGACTTTTATTAATACTACTAGCTGTGCCCATGGCTCCACCGCCGTGTATGTAAGTTATCGCGTTAAAATGTAGCCTATATAATGTAACTTCCTATTGTTGAAATATTTTTTTAAATCAGTTTAGTGGTTTAGGCGTGAAAGTGTAATAAACAAACAAACTCACTTTCACATTTTTATAATATAAGCATGGATTTTTGTCGTTTTTTTTTGCTATTGAGTAGGGTTTCCAGAGTTGGTATGGAAACGCAAAATCTGATGCCTCCATTTCACTCAAGCAAGTCAGAAAGTAACGTGTTTAAGTTAGAAAAAGACGTATACCTACATTTTTATTCTAATATAAAAGCCAAGTACACGCTTTTTTATATCATAAATGTGATTAATCCACATTTCACTGAACCCTTTTTTGTTTTTTTTTTGTCCGTGCGGAAATCCCTTCGGATACCACCTATCGGTGGCATGTCGGCCTCGAACCGACTAAAACCGCACGCCGTCTCCGG